CTCCATCTCTTGATAGTATTCTTCCACATACTTGGAGCCTTGAGTAAGTCTCCTGAGCTTGGAGTGTAGCTCTCGTTGGTAATGGCTAGGGACAAATCGCTGCCTCATGATGCGCTTCATCTCTTCCCAAGTGGTAATCTCAAAAGCACCACCAATCTCGCGAGCCAAGGTGATTTGCTCCCACCATCTCAACGCATAATCGTTGAACTCTGACATGGCCAGCTTGACACGGTTAACGCCAATGATGTTGTGAAGATTGAAATTGAATTCGCACTTCTTCTCCCAGTCCATATACTCGTCTGGATTGTTCCGGCCATGGAACGGTGGAATCTTCATTTTGTAACCGCCCAAGTTCTCTAACATACGGTCTGGCTCATCTCGCGGCTTCCTAGATCGGCGACGACTTGAGTGAGAGGAGTGACTGCTGCCGTAGTAGATATGAGCTTGATCATCACCGAGCCCATGAGATGTCATCGGATCATTCCTCTTGTCCCCATCAGAAATATGTATCGGATCCCTAGTCTCCTTTCTCTTGCCTCGTTTGATCTGATCTCTCCGATCAAACTCTTCTGCCATCATCTTCTTGATTTGATCCAGCAAGGCTTCGCCAACTCCGCTTGATCCATCTTCCTTTTCCGACACCATAGTTCCTGAAATTCAAAACAAGAGCGCGGCAGTCAAACGAAAATAAACTAAGTAAAACTTAAATAAAATTCCTGCAAAACAAACAAGAAACTCGTGAATCATAACCATATGTAAACGCATACCTTAGGCTCTATGGAAGAGCTTCCACTTGCTTGGTGATGATGAACACGGTTGTCTCCTTGGTTCCTTGTAAAACCGGCAAGAAAGGTGTTGATGAGATCTTAAGTTGCTCTTGAGCTCTTCTTGGGGTGTGGGGGACATCTTGATCCGCCTCTTTAGCCTCTTGATTCAATCTTGGGGTTTCTTGTGATATCTCAGTTGTGAGTAGCGTCTCCTTCAGTTCTTCATGCTCTATGAGAGTGATCAAGCCTTCAATGGACTGGTTGAACTCTTCTCTTACACTTATAAGTCCGGCTTGGTTCTTGGTGATCTCCTCAAGACTGGTATTGTGACCGGTTCCTCCGTATCGGTCTGATCCGGTTCGGTGTTCAGGTCGATGTCCTCATCACTGAACCTCCTCAACCATGATCGCATCAACGACCGAACGTACAATCATCCGGCCACGATCGTTCCGACCGTACCGAAGCCCGATCACGACCCACTCTCGGCCGATCATCCCAACTGACCGTCCGAACGGTCTGGTCGACTAGAAGCCGAATTTAAAGCCCGTTTTACAAGATTTAAAGCCCAATTCTTTAGCCTACTTTGAAGACCTAGATCTAGCCGTTCTCTCATACTTAAAGCACTATAAATACATATTCTTAGCCTTGTAACTAAGAAGGAGAGAGACCAAAATTTACATTACATCTTTAATAAAGTTTTACTTGTTCTTTGCTTTTACTTTGCTTTTGCTTGTTCTCTTACTAGAGAGGATTCGATCTCTGTTCTTATGAATATGAATTCGATTTCCTTCTCTATGTCTGAGTAGTTTACTTGTTAAGTGATAGGAAATCAAAGGATAGTATTCATGTTTGCTTGATATCGATTATGATGAATTAGGGTTTTACATAAACTCTTCACCTTTACTTGTGTGCAAGCTTGTTGTTAATCTGGCCAATTAGCATATGATCCTAGGTAGACTTGAGCCACGAAAGTGATGAATCATTCGCCTGAACTAGTATTTGGTGGGCAATCTCTTTTAGACTGCGACAGTTGATCTACTTGTAGGTTGTGAACAATTGAGACTCATTCGAATTAATGCTTGATTTAATCATCTAAAGACATACCAAAAGTTTAGCGATTAGATAGATTAACAAAGGGGTCGGAGCCACGACAGTGGAAAGATCATACCTTAGTGTCTTGAGTTCTAGATGGTACCAACTCTCAATAACCCTAATTAATCGAACTTTCTGCTTGAATTACTTATCTAGATATTATCCTATTGCTTAGCCGTTTCTCCTTTGTGGTTCTCCACCACATTAGGAGGAGAGAGCATGATCCAGCAACACCTCGTCCTGACCATCTACTTGTTATCCTCGGGTGATGATACTTGCCCAGACAAAACTCCTATGGGTCGATTTCCATTCGACACCTCGTACGAGAGATACATTGTATCTAAATCTAGGTTCAATGTATTGATATACCTCTAATTTACCCACTTTTTATACTGTTTTAGTATTGTTTTCTAATGGTTTTTGGCAGGTTTTCTATCTAAAAAGGTAGTTTTACTGTGTTTATAGTGTCTAGAGTCTAAACAGGTGAAATGATGCATTTTGGAGCAAAACCATAGGATTTGCACTTCAAGCCGCTACTTAATGGATTTCATCAAGACCAGTTCCCTGCGTGCTCTGATTGAGTTAACTTTCCAACGCAACTGGAACGGCCTAATTTGGATGAGTAGAAAAGGAGTTACAACCAAAAGAGTGGAGACTGTCCAGACGGCTCTATCGAGAAACAGCGCCCAACCGCGCAGTCCGGCTGGCCGAGGAACGCATGTTCCGCGCTCGGCCAAAACTGTGTCCGTCCGTCTGAAGTCTCGGCCAAGTCCAAACCACTCGGCCGATCACGCATCACGACCCGGGAAACTCAAGCCCGCGGTCGGCCTCGCCACAACCGGCCACGCCAAAGCCTCGCGGCCGTGCAACTCGCCTCACGTACCGCGCACGAACGCTCCGTCCGACCCGGGGAGTAACGCCTCGCGTCCGGCCGAGAGATTTCATCGGCCAAACATCTATCCGCCGACCAAGCCGGCCGACCGTGAATCCATCCGGCCCCGACCGTTCCGACTCGGCCACGAACCCGATTGTCCGGCCGATCGTCCCGCACGACCGTCCCAACGCCGCGGTCGACCCGAAGCCCTTTTTGAAGCCCAATTTCATATTTTCAAGCCCGGCTTAACCCTAAGCCGCCTCTAGAAAGACCTAGCACTATATATATAGATTTTTAGCCTCTTGTGAAAGAGAGCCGCCTTGTATTACGATTTCATACTTTGAGTTTTATTGCAATCATGTTTTCTTCATCTCTTTGTGTTTTTGCTTTGATTATGTCTGAGTAATTCACTAGTTAGGTTGTGAGATTTATCAAAGAGTTCATGGTTTGATAGGTTGTTAGAAGTCAATAGGGTTTATCATATCGCATCTTCGCCTCTGCTTGAATTCATTGCTGCTTGCTTTTCTGATCAACTAGCATCAGATCTTAGGTTTCATATACTCTCCAAAAGCTTGCTATATAACCTGAACTAAGTATTTGGTGAGCAAAACTTCATAGACTGCGAAAGTTGATCTATGCGGGGTTGTGAACAATTGGGTCTTGAACGAACTATTGCTTGATTTAATCACCTAGGGACATACCAAAAGTTTAGCGACTAGGTAGATTAACAAAGGGGTCGGAGCCTCGACAGTGGAAAGATCATACAATCGTGACCTGAGTTCTAGATAGCGCAAACCCTAGCGAAACCTTCTAATATCTTGTTAACCTTGAATCTCTGCGAGTTTCTCATTGCCTAGCGTTTCCCTCTATTGATTTTCATAAACCGTTTAATTTGTTTGATTTACTTTGTTACACAATCAAAACCCTAAATCATACTTGTTTTCTAGCTATATTAGACTTGCAATACTCGAAGTGTACTTATCTGCTCCTTGTGTTCGATACCCGTTTACTACTTCTGACCTGTGCACTTGCAGAATCAGGGATAGGAAAAGGGAAGACCTGATCCCGCACATCATGTATCTTCTCTTTCTTCTTACAAGTATCGTTAAAAAGATTATTTTGTCTCTTTGTCACACTTGTCCACTCGTGGATGTTTTGGTTGTGTTTCTCCATATCCCAATCATGTGTAGGATATCCCGCGTTCTAAACAGTTTGTCCTGACGCCAACGTCTGTACCCAACCATCCCAGGAACGTACCGACCGTCCCGCGACCGCACCAATCGTATCGAACGTTGTCTTCTTTTTGTCTTCATGAACGATATGACTTTCGTCCGTGATTTCTTCTTTAATCGTTCCCCGTATGTGTAGTGCACATATGATCGTCCCGCGAACATCTCTGGTAAGCCGCAGTTCGACCGTAAACACTTTGTTCGCCATATTTGGAGTTTTACTCAACCGTTTTTACTTTGGTTTCAACCGTTTGCTACTTTTTCAAACTATCTATACATCCCCAATGAGATGACCGCATTTACTAAATTTCAGGGATATTCAAATGATCGATCTCTAAACCTTATCAAGCTGGATCTCTTTGCAAAGTATTAAGAGCTACTCAACAAAAGCATCCCTTCCCATGACATTAATGTTGATAACTGTAAAGATCTTGGATTACATTACAACCATCTATCCTTTGTAGAAGGAGCTCTCTATGCCAAGTACCAAAGAGAGGAGTCCAACGCCCAACCCTCCTCCTTTTTTTGCAATGCCGCTAGAGCAATCTCCAGGAAAATTTCATCACACTTTATGAAGAAAGAAGAATAATAATAGGAACATGAGGAAGACTATGAAGAAGAAGAAGATGAAGAGCAGAAGAGTAAAGCATTGATAGAAATGATCACTCTAGAAAGATCAAGGCACCTGCAACAGATGATCCTCGATTCTCACCACCACAAAGAAAAACAACAGCACTTACAAGACTAGAAGTGATCCCAAGGATATAGCCAACATCGGAGGAAGCCGAAGGTACTTGGTACTATGATTCTATTGACTATGTAACATCCTTCAATCGAAAAAGTGATATTTGATGTTGGTGTTGAGCGACACCAGGAGGTGTCGGTCGACAAAGGTTATCGGTAAATCGCGTCAGTTTGATTTAAGTTGTTCGGTTTAGGTTGTTTAGGCAAGGATAGCCCAAAATCAAGATTAAAAGGAGATGGCCGCATTTTTATCATAGTTTTTGAGGCAATTTTAGGAGATTTTTGGAGTTCTTGGATCAGATCGAAGCGCCGTTCGTCATTGTTCTTTTCTATCTCTCTCTTTTCCCCTTCTCAATCCGTTTTAGAGGCGAGTGGGCGACCATAGGTTCAGGGTTGGGTGATGTTTGAGTTTGTGATGAGAACATATTGTTTTCATGTCGTTTTTGAGTACTGGATCGCTTATCGGTGTTGAAACCTATTGATTTCGTGTTTTCTGCACGGTTTTGTCGATTTGGGATTGTTGTCTGCGAGTCAGTGTCGAGCGACACTCAACCCTTGGTGTCGCTCCACACATAGGGCAGGTGTCAACCAGGTTGGTGTCGCTTGATACCAGAGTATTTATGTGTGCTGTTTGTGCTTAATTGTTACTTGCTTGTGTCTAGTGTTTTGCGTTAAAGGCCGGGATGACCGTCTTACTAAGTATTTATGAAATACTTATGTATCTCTTTTCGCTATGTGATGCAGGTAAAAGAAATGTGTGATCCCGAAATCAAGGCTGAAGAAGGGATGACAGGATTGTTTTATTTGTTTCCGCTGTTAATCTAGTTAAACCTAGGTTTAGGTTGCTAGATTTATTTATTCTTAATTAAATTGTTGAACTGAAATGGTTAAATTATTTATTGTATTATTTCTTTAAGTCTTGCGCATGATTAAGTATTTAATTATTTTTTGAAAAAAACTTGGTTGTTTCATTTTGGTTGTAGAGCCCTTGAGATTTTACGACTATTAGAAATTGGTAGAATTGAGATTATGTGTTTAATTGATTATGTGTGTTGTAGTCATTTAATCGTTTTAATATCATCCTCCTCGGACTTCAAGAGATTTTGTGGTGAGTTGTTTATGTCGTTTGGTTTGTGTTCTAGTATTCATCTACTGTTCCTTGCAGTGAGATATATGGAGTTTCTATAGCCCGTGTGATATACCTCTATTTTACGTGCTTTTTATATGATTTTAATATGCTTTTCATATGGTTTTAATGGGTTTTCAATCTAAAAATGTAGTTTATTGGATTAATAGTACAAAGATTATTCGATTTGCACAATTTGGATTTGGATGAACAGAAATGGAGTTATGATCATTTTAGTAAAGACTGGTCCATACAGCCGAAACCGGACATGAACTGTACCACGCCTTGACCGCACGCATTGGCCAGTCTGGGAAATATCTTCCGCCGCCAACCCATGTCGCATGCACCTTATACCGACCTTACGTACACGCAGCAAAGCGGACTGGCTGATCCGGGATGCATTGTCCCGCGGTTGTCCCACATCTCACACACTCCACACAATCGTCCCACACGTAAGGGCGATCGTACCGTCCGGCCGGGAAGCATCATCCCGAGTTCAACCCATTCACGTCCCACGATCTGCATAACCACATGACCATACCGTTCGACCAGGAAATTATCGTCTCGCGATCAACTGAACCGCACAGCATAACATATCTGTCTGGCCGATCCCCACGTCCGATTGCAGAACCATCTGTCCACGATCGTACCAACCGTTGGCTGAACACAAGCCGATTTCCGGCCGAATGCAGCGACTGACCGTCTGAACGTTCCGCTCGACTCGAGGCCGATTATAAAGCCTATTTCAAATGATTTCTCGGCCTGTTTAAACTAATGCCGCATGTGGAAGGCCTAGCATTATAAATACAACTTTTTAGTCTCTTTTGAGAGAGAGCCGCATATTGTAACATTTCTCGGCCTGTTTAACCTAATGCCGCATGTGGAAGACTTAGCACTTAGAGATCTAGCACTATAAATACAACTTTCTCTCTTCTTCCATCTAAGCAAGCACATAGCCAACGATATAACCATTGTAGTCCTCAGCGACGTAGAGGAGCTGCGGCCATGAGACGGCCATGAGAGTATATGGTGGAGATAATACAACGAGATCGAAATAACGACGAGATCGAATCGACGAGATCACAACAACAAAAGAAACGACGACGACGAGATTGAATCTCATGAGGATGATGGCTTTTGATCGTCAATCGAATAATCTGAATGTGTTTAGTTAGGGGTAAGGTTGTCTTTTCCTCAATTAAAATGGCGTATCTTTGAAAATGTAATTTGTATAGTTCTGAAAAATGGCATTGGCAAATGTGCATTTTTGAAATTTTTTGAAATTGCCCCAAATAGATAAATACAAACAAAACTTACTTAACTCACGTAAATTTGTATTTTTGTATTAGTTATTTTAAAGCGATTTTAACTTGGTGATATCAATTTTACATTTTTACTAAACTTACACAAGACAATTTTATAAATGATATTAAAATCAATATTATATTTTGTGTCACTTGGTGATAGTAATAAGCACTTATTACATATTAAAATGGCTTATCTTGTGATCCAAAATAACCGATGCAATCCACAGTTTTTCGTGTAGTGTGTGCTTCATACGAAACAAAGTTTTGGATCCCTCCTTAATAATAGCACAATTCTTCAGTCTCGTGTAGGGCTTCTGGAAATGTTGGGCCGACTCTGATTGTGGTGGTTCACTTCTATATATGTGCAGGTCGCTTTCCAGGTCACTATATTAAAAGAAAAGAACAAAAAAAAGACAAACAAGTTAAACACACACAAGAAAAGAGTGAAAAGCAAGGACAAGAATAACTAAGAACGAAGAAGTTAATGATCGACAGTTCGACACCTTACCAGAATAATTAGCCTTAGATGAATAAAATTATCAAAAATAACTTACTTGCAGAGCCATGACTAGTCATCGTTTGACTAAATGAATCACATATGTATTTAGATCCTGGTGCTATAAAAGCCAAATTCTGCGGTGGAAAAACTTCTGTTCCAACTCGGCCAACAGTAACTTGAAATGAGGCGGAGCTTCCGGCAGTAATCACACCGCCCTTGCAACAATTTACTATTAGATCGTCCCTTGGTACCGATAAGTCGACAATGGTCGGGTTATTCAAGCAGCACAGGGGAACATCAGTGTCTTCGAATCCTGAACAATCCCCTTGTTTTGTTGCTTTAGCCCCCGCAATGCTCCATATTATTTCCTCGTTATACCATGACCAACTTAACTCCCACCCTGGCGCCTGAATAGAACGTTCTAGCTCGTTGTTCTTGATTGAAACAATTGCCTGTTGATTAAGGAAAAAAATTCAGACAATTGTATAATTGAGTATACCGGAAAAGTAGGGTTCGAAACATTCAGATTGCTTTGTCTATATGTGTATAAAACAATCTTAACCATAGATTTGTAAAGTGTTATATATGAGTTTACCTCATAGCCGTCCGTTGTGTAAGACGTAATATCCCATACTACTTCAATGCTTCCATCTTCATTAAGACCCAAACATGTTTCTAGATATAGAAAAAGGATAAACAATAGTGGCGACATTTTTTGTTATAGTTTCTTCGTTATTATTTACAAAATTTAAAGGTGTTTTATGCTTGTAGGAGAGATGGTTTTAGGGTGAAGTTAGGATCACAGACACAATAGTGTGTGAAGCTGTAAGCGCTTGTGTAGCGTATGATTAGGTTGAAAACAGGTGGATCACATATTTTACTACAGCTAAAAGACAAACTATAACTTCTTTTTTGTGAAACCATATTTCATTAAAACTAAACCCAAAAGATTTTGAAGGGCCTTAAGAGCCTGTTCGGCTAAGAAGTCTGCTACAACTTTAACCACTAGAGATAAAGTTAAACTGCAAAGAAAAAAAAAAAAGACGAAGCAACGCGGTTGAGTGGGTTCGGAAAACCACACTCAAAATTTATGTGTATTTTGTAAGGGAGAAATTGCCTGAGGAATCTGAGGTTAGATTCTGATGTAAATCGAACAAGTATAAACAAGTATTTGAGGAAATCAGATTAGGTTAATCAAATAAAGTGACTGCAAAATCGGCCTTTAAGACCATGTAAAACACTAGATTCGACTAAGTAAAAGAGATGGAAATAAGTGGCTGCGCTTGGTATCGAGCTGCCTACATACACTGCTGTAGGGATCAAGTCTGAACGTAGTTCGATTATAAGTTGTTCTCTATTTCGGGTCGTTTTCTGGATAGAAATTACCACGAAAAGAGTTAAAGTGGCGTGAAGATGACGATAAATCTCTGGTTATCGGAGTGATCGGAAAGTAAGATATCGGTCAAAGGTCTACCGGAAGTGACTTCCACTTAAAAGATCAGAGCTTTCTAGGGTTATTCGAGAGATCAAAGATAAGATCATAATGTTTTCTCACCGTAAAGAGAAGCTTACAAAACGTGAAGAACCTTTGTTCTCAGATGTGAGAAAGATCTATACTTTTTTCTCTGAAGTGAGAAAGGTAAAGATTATCCCTTGTGATCAGGAATCGTCCTCCATTTATAGCTCCCGAAGTAGATCGCAACCTCCTCCATGTATCTCGTCCACGTGCAACTTCCGATCCCGCTATTTTCGGATCTGAACGGTAGAAGTGAGATTCTTGGTTGAGTCATTCAGCCCGGCTCACCAATATATTGAAAGCCTTTGATTCCTGAATTTCGACTTTGTCTTCACAAGTAGCTCGAATAGAATATAGCTGAATTTGGACAAGGATATTTGGCGGGCTCAAGATCATGCTACTCGGCCTGAAACAACCAACATTGTTTTTTTTTTTTTTTTTTAATCTAAATATAATAGCAAACTGAACAAATGCCTTTTGTTGTCGTGCCTTTTCGTTCTTAACCGTTTTATCTGTAACCGCTCACCTAAAGAGTTGTGTCTTCTCGAGTGGTATCTTTTCAGTTATAACCGCTAAATTTTTGAAAAGTCGCAACTTTTAATAATGAAACCTTTTCACTTCTATATATATTATTTAGCACAATTTTATCATTCGTTTAAAATCTTTGGTTCTTTCCATTCATCTTTTCTTTTGATTGTTTGTCCCCTCTTCTCTCATCGTTGCTGTATTTTTTTATCATTCATTTCTTACGTGGTAGTTTGTTTTTTTATTCATTCGTTTACTCCACTGGGTTGGAGATAGAATACAAAAGCTCCATCGACTATTACGGTAACTTCTCTGATACGTTTATTTGATTTTATTGAATTTTGATAACTGGTTTCTCTTCTTGCTTTGTTCATTTAGACATATTATAAATATGGGATAATTTTTTTCTCAACAACCACAAACGTTGCAACCCAATGAAGTTTGTATGGAAAAAAAGGTAAGGGAATGGTCATGTCTTTCTGGTTGGTCTATAACAAAGGGTACGGACTTCATAGAACATACTGGATCATGAAAATCTCAAATATATACGAGATAATTTACTTCTCTTCCACAGCATAAGCATGCATGAAAACGAGCAGGAGATGGATGATAATAAAGTTGGAGAGAATGTTGGTGGTGGTAAGGGTGTTTGTATAAGCGGAACCGTGGTTACACACAATCTTACTTGTACACAACCGAGTCGAGCTGAGCCACGCCATACGACCTGCGTGTAGTGTCCACAAGCAGAACCGTGGCACGAGTTTAGTAAGCCCACTGTTTTGATCCCGTAAGTAACAGGGCTATGCTTTGATAAACCATTTCGAGAAGTCCAATATTAATACACTATCTCTTTTGTTGGTTCACTACATCAAATAATGTTTTTGGGGCATCTCCGTAAAATGCAGCTCTTTTGGGATAACAGAAAACTGTTCTCCATCCTAAACCGTGGATCATTAGTCCTGTGTAGTAGTCTTCAACTAAAGACCTATATCTGAATCCAATCTGTACAAGTTTCAACGATAACAAACTACAAAATAAGTACATTTACTTATGTCGAAAGATGACTAAATTTGTTTTTGAAAAATCTACGTACGTTTAGGGTTCTTTCTCAAAGAGGACAATTATGTTTCATATCAGTCAAGAAATTAGTAAATGCTATTTGCATGTCTGTTGTATCTTTTCGTTATACCTTTACACATAACCGTTTATAATATATGCTAAGTATTAAGTAGTATCTTTTGGTAACACATCTTTTTGCTTCGCTTATAACCGTTTAAGTTTATGAACAGTCACATCTTTTCACAGTGTATTTATATTGTTGAATAGATTTTGTCATTCATCATTATTAATTTTAGAATTTAGAATCCACTCATTTCGTAGTTGGCATTGTTATGTGTCATGTTCTCTCACAGTCATGTTCTCTCACAGTCATTGTTTCATCTTCTTACTTCTTACGCCATCGTCATTGGTCGCTGTAGTCTCCACCAGTTTATAGGTTTTCTATAGTTGCCTAAGTCTACCCCTACCCAGTTTCCGCCATCGATGTAGTCTTCTTTGGTCTCCACCATCTTGTTGATCCCTGAGTTTCCCATCTTCCTTAAGCATATTATTTATTACATAGTTATGATTCTCATCCTGATAATAATATACTGTACTATGTTGATTAACCAATCAGTTGTTATCAATCCTACAATTAAAAAATCTGGAGTTTTTGAATAACATTGGCGTCAAAACAAAAACAAATTAGGAAAACAAAAAATCAAGACTTAACAGTTGTGAAATCATCAATTGATTATATCAAGGTGTCCCGTCCTTCTCGAAATAATTTAATTTTGATAGAGAAATCATTTACTTTGTTTTCGGAAAGGAAACAACCAGGGGATGCCAGCAGCCCCTAAACTGTTTAGATTAAAAAGAAACAAGTGAAAGGGGACGATAATGTCTGTCAGTTGCGTGAGAAAGAGAACATTATGCTGAATCATTAAAAACGGTGTTCCAAACCAACCAACACAAACAAAATTAGGAGAAGTCAAAGGAATGTACCAAGCAAGAAATGATGCCGCTTACCTGAGAGAAAAATTGGAGCAGGAACCGTTTATAGGAAAGAGGTAGAGAAATTTCACGCACGGGAGGAGATAGGAACTGGTTACAGAGATAACCAAACAAGACGTCAAGGAAACATTAAAAAAAGCTCCCGTGAGACTTATAGGAGACAAGGAGTAGGCTCATATATAAAGCACATCAGAGAATTAGTTTCAGAAAATTACGGATGTATGGTGACATTTGGTGGATTATAAAGATTCGGCTCAAGTACATAAAGCTTATTTTAACGTATAAGAGGAACCTCCTCCTCAATTATACCATGCAGCTTCTGAGAATATAGAATGAAGAGATGCCATGGAAGAAGAAATTAAGACGATTGAGAAATAGAAGACCTGGTTTCTTGTAGAAAACCAAAGAAGAAGAACATCATTGGTGTGAAATTGATATATCGCATCAAGGCAGATTCGTATAAAAATTCTACAAAGTTCTAGGACAGGCACGGCTCTGATGAAAGGGTTCTCTCAAAAAGATGAAGAAGAGATAGTTCTAAAGTTGAGGAAGCAAAGACGTTGGGCTTGGTATGAAAAAAAAATTATTATTACATTTCGCAACATGGATTCCTTTGAATCCATGAACTCAAAGTTTGAAATGAAGGGGAAGAGTTGGTTTAGAAATTAAGAGATGTGTGTTAGTCGTAACCTATCAAATAGGCAGTTATTAAGTTATGAAAAGTTAGCATTATGAACAGTTACGCCTGTTCATTTAACTTACTATTTCACTATATGAGTCTTGTGTAAATGTAAAATAGTCAAAGATAAAGAAAGGTGTTCCATGGATTATACTCGTATCACACTTGTTAAGAAGCAATAACTTCAAAAATGATACGAGCCTAAAACCAATAAACCTCTGGTCTGAATCAGTCGCCGGAAAATACACCCAACTCGATACATAGGAATTGTATAGATTGGATTGATGATAGATATACCTGAGAATGACGAGGAAAGTTAAAAGTGATGATGGATCCAGTTTGCATTAGGATCAAATAATTCCGTAAATAATTTGTTTCTATTGGGGTTATATCAATACTATTAAAACTGAGTCACAAGGGTATTCCAGTCAGGAAATTTTCGGAGCTAAAATAAGTAATTTACCAAAAAACCAAACAGATAATAAAGAAAAGGTGTTTGGAAACAAGTATAATAAGAGAGTTTTTTGGAAAAAAAAATTTAGGGTTTCACTGAGTCGACTCAGTTTTACACGCGTCGACCTCACCCGGATCCATTGATAAAACACGCGGATCCAAAAGTTTACTTAAATTCAACCGGACAAATTGAACTGGACAAAATTCAACTAAACCATATAACCATTACAAAATTGGTGAGCCAAAATATAATTGATGACACAGTTTGTGTTAAAAAAAAAACACGCAAGTCCAGCGGATCTTTTATCGGATCATACGAAGATATAAAGAAATGCAGGAAAAGCTTTAGAATGAAATTAAGCCCATACAAATCCATTACAGTTTTCAAATTTCGAATTCAAAGGATCCTGATTTAGCATAATAATACTCCAGCTCCGAAAATCTGCATTTTCCATAAATATTATTAACTGTGCCAATCAAATACAAAAACAGAAATAATATAAACAGCAATAACAACTCAGATTTCTTTCCACGCAAAATCTATAAAGTTTTCCACAAATTTCGCTAATGAATTAAAACGAATATACTTAATACCTAATGTACTAAGCACACAAAAGTGACGACATTCATAATACATTGATATTGAATTTGAAAAGTTACCAAAAACAAAAAAAACTAAAAATTCTTGCGTAAATATCTACCAAAAATATACTGTGATAAATTTTGAAACCATATTGATTGAAAACCTAATGACTCATCTTAAACAACTATAAATACATCATTCACATGGTGTTAGTACATACCTCGAATTGCATAATGTTTCCGTGTTTCTATTTTCATGTTTACTAATCCCATTTTGTTTTGGATGTAGGGGAATAAAGCAACCAAAAGCTCTCTCTTGAATGACCAAGCAACTATGATACGATCAAAGGTTAGTCCCAATCTATAACCTATTAATAGATAGTTTCTCCTTATTGCTTCACATGTCTTTACGATGGCAAGCCTTTCAAAATAGGTTGGTGAATCCAAATTAAGCTTCTTTTGGAAGCAATACACGTCCGTGATATTATAGACTATTAGAGATTTTGTACACCTTTTCGATTCTGAAATCTTAATCTCAATCTGTCTTGCAGGATATGAACACACAGGCTTATGAATATCACCATACCTTATTCGTCTGAAAAAAGAGAAGTACCAGGCTTTGGACCTCCAGATTCGAGTTATTGATTCAATGAGCCTCTTTGCGTTGCATCAAGCTGTGTTTATTTGATGAAAAAAAAACACAGCATACTAAAATGTAAGTTAACCTTCATACGGTAAGCTTTATACACGCTTTCAAGTCTAAAATCTGCTTCTCATTCTGTCTTGCAGGTTATGAAAACACAAGCTTATGCAAGCAAGCATATAAACAAACATTGGAGATGATTCTAGCCAATGAAAATGTAAGATCGTAATCTTAAAATACATACAATCAAATATATATTTAAATACTAAAATACAAAAACATGCTCTATTTAATTATTTTGATGTATTTAAATATATAGCACATAGATTTTAGCCTTTAAAGGGTTTCTTTTACCATTGTGCGTTTCTTTTCATATCATTTCTCAATAGAAGCTTCGACCTCATATATAATTTCTTCGAAGAGAAATTTAATTACTTTTTTGACTTTCTATTTTATGTTTTCATGCAATTCCAAAAAGAGAGAGAACACATCTATCTGCTACAAACAAGTTTTCAGACTATGTTTCATTGAGTCCAGCGTTTGTACAAGTATATTTTTTGTTAAACTGTATAACATGATTTTGCTTTGCTGCTATTATTTTCTTTATATTTTAACGTGCTTGACTAATTTGAACCAGCCTTGCTTTAAAAGCTTTCTGCAAGTTTTCTTAATTTCAAGGTTGTTTATGGTCAGGATCCTGCGTTCTACTTTGCTTTATAAATAGAAGACTCACTATATCTCTAAAGAACCTATATTCTCAGAACTATAATTTCAGATTCCCAGCAAGCTAAACCAAAAACAAAAAGGCTAAACCTACTTTATTCACGTACATGAAGGATGACAATTCTATATGGAGAATCCGACTTTATACATAATGCAGAAAGAGGAAGAGATTGTGACGGGTCAAATCTGGTCCATGCCTAAATACACGAACAAGACAAAGGCGAATTAAAAGAAAGAGTTCAGAAAAGTATTTGAGGAAACAAATCCGCACCACGAGGAGGAAAGAACATTTTGTATGAAAAAAAAAAGCTTCAGCTTGGTATTATTAACTTTTGTTTCTTCATTATTTTTTATTTATTCCAAAATAGATTTTAAAGATCATACCAATAGCCTGAAGCAAGCAACTTTTCACCAACGACCTTTGGATGTGTACTCCTTACAGCTGGTTTGACGAACATTTAATGGTTTGAAGGTGATGCCGGTTATAAATCCAACTGCTTTTAACTTTTGGGAACCTACCAAATACATAAGAACATATAGATTAGTATCACGATTGTCGACAAAAACAACCAAATTCTTCTGCAAATTAAGTGGAGACAAAGGCATTTAAGCGGAGAATATGAAAAGGAAGAAATCCTGTTAGTCTTTTGTCTTAACCTCAAGGTTGTCCAGTTTTGTTTTATCGAAACTCAGACATGATAGTTCAGAATTCTAACATATTGTACAACCATATTTTAGAAACAGTTTTGCTATGCAATCAATTTAAAATCAGAAAAACATACAATTCATTATATGAAAAGTGGTTATTGTACTAACCTTAATTAGTTTTCTTAATCAAGCATGGATTATTAACCCGTTTAGAAAACAATGATAAGCTTCTTAGCTCCATCAAAGGTAAAACGTTGAACTTTTCCTCTCTACAAGTCTCCTTCACTGAAAAGAGTGAAGAATTGCTTAGTTCGGACCCAAGTTTGAAACATTGTTATCGGTGACGAAAAGAGAGTAACTCATCCAGAAAAAAATATGAAAAGCTATCATGTGAATATCATGCGAGGAACTCAAGAAACCAAACAATGCACCCATGAACAGCTATCAAAGACGAGATAGAAAGTACACTATATGAGCTATCAAAGGAAACAAGAAAGTGATAACTTATAAGATTTTAGCAAAAAAAAAAAGAGGGAATTGTTCAGGAGAATGCAAATGCACAAGCAACAAGAACAATGGAATTAGGAATTTCGAGAAGAGCAGGAAAGCTGAAGAGAAAGTTCATAGGGGAACAAATTAATTGCAGAAAACAAATTGATTATTTTTTAGATAGTTGATTTTTTTTACTTGAGGTTTCGAGATGCTGGAGAAGACAGAATTGAACCTCAAATGCCTCAAGAAGAATGGAGATTCATTCAATTCATTGTTATTAACCATGCAACGGGTCTATACATAGAGTTTTTAATGGACTGGTCTGTACCTGACAACATCGGTATTGCGTTTGGCGATGTAAGATTCAGTTTTTGGCATCGGAAATTCACTATCACCAAAAATCATACGAGCAAGGAGGAGATGATAGTTGTCAGAAAAGGTTATCCTGAGATCATCAAGGCATCGGAAAGTCCCGATGATTCATTGGAGAAGCTGCGGGGAAGAAATCATGAAATAAAAAACTATGACTTGACTGGATTCTGTAAATCAAAAGCGATTAAGGCGTGAAGAAGATGAGTGTTTACCTAGATCGTCGACGATCCAGCTTTCGAAATGAATCAATTCTGATTGGCAATAAGGAGCTGAAATCATGAGCATGTGATCTGTTTTGCCATTAAACTTGTTGCATGTGCTTGAAATTGAATTTGAGTTTGGTAATGGTTAGGTTGCTATGTTTTTCACTAGAATTGCTTATTGTTCCATTTACTAGTTGTTCTTGGTTCAATTTGATTGATTAGCATCCTTTCCAGCTCTTAATACTTGAATTAGGTTTGGTTATACTCTGTTTTCACCCAACTCGATCGAGTTTGTCACTCGAGTTTTTTGACTCGATCGAGCTGAGTGTCGAGTTGACCAAACCGATCATTACAACTCTAATTCTTTGTAATCTTTGATGCATTTCAGGTACTTTAGTGAAGAAACAGAGTAACAAGGATGACAAACAGTGAGGGAAGTCGTGCTTCACAAAGGAGGATGGTTGAGGGTGAATCAAGCAATGCAAGGGAAAGAAGGCTTAAGATGCAAGCCGATTTGAAGAGGATGATCAGAGGATGGAAGATCTGATGCAGAGGGATATGTATACTCTGAGGAGAAAGTCTGAGAGCGAGAGATTGAGGGAGGAAAGGAGGACCAAGAAGAGGAATGACCCCATTAGTAGTGAGAGTGAGCAAGGGGAGTTTGAGATTGGAGTGAACCTTGTTCAAGAGGAGGGAAATGGTTCTCCAAGTGAAGAAGAAGTGATGAGACTGAGAGTGAAGAGGAAGGAGAAGAGGTGAATCAGTTGGTTGAAGAAGTGAGCAAGAGTAACCAAGATGAACCTATGGAGGAGTTGAGCCACAAGAGGAGCGCAAGAGGAGGATGAGCTCCCCATGTACCAAGAGCACTACAATGCTCTTCTCCATGGACTTCATGGACACCAAGTACCCACATGTTGACACAATGAAGGCCCTTGGAATCTTTGAAGATGTGGAGTTGGTCTCAAGAACATGCACTTGGCCAAGCTCTTCTCTACCACATGGAATCCTACAAGGAGCTCACTTGCGAGTTCCTAGCTTCAATGAGGTACCACATGTATGAGGAGAAGATAGAGCTGATTTGGACCAAGGATTGGGATGGATCACGTTCTTGGCTAAGGGAGAGAAGAGAATGGTGACCTTTAGGCAGCTGGAAATCTTGTTTGGGTTCAACTATGGAGAGGGACCAAGTGGAACTTCAAGGAAAAGGAACTCCAAAGGGTTTGGGCTACAATCGCTGATGGAGTGTACTCTTCCTCAAGGTCCAAGGCAGCTCAGATCAGGAGCCCAGTCTTGAGGTATGTGCACAAGGCACTTGCCAACACCTTCTTTGCAAGGAAGGCACCGGGACCATCAACGAGGGGGAACTCAAGTTTCTTGACATGGGAATCAAGCCCCTTCTCTCACGCACAAGCGATGGCAAGAGGATCAGGGGAGATAGATCTGACACAGGGAACTTGATGCCTTTCCTTGACCATCTCCTTACCTACAAGATCACAGCCTACAACACTAGGCATCAACGAGGAAGGCGCCTAAGTGTTGGAGGGCTCATCACTCCTATCTTGTGTGCTGCTGGAGTGAACCCAACTGATAGGAGAGCCACTGAACCAGGTTGGATGGACATCAAGTTTTGCAAGACCAACCTTCTCATTGAGCACAAGGAGTTGGATGGGAGGTTCCAATTCAAGTTCACACATCCATTGGTTGGACCCTCCAAGTTTCTCCTGCCCAACCCAGAGCTCACCACAGTAGTAAGGGGTGAGAACATTGACTTCAGACCCCCTGTGTACACATTAGTTGGGCATGAGGATGATTGCGAGAAGAGGAGCCTGAGCTCGATCGAGCTGAGTCGAGCTGAGGGTCGAGCTGAGGATCGAGCTGAATATCAGGCCAGGAGAGCGGATTTGGGTGAGCCTGAGTGCTACTACTTTGAGGAGTATGAGGCTCCAAGGATGAACCCCTCTGTTGTGGCTGCCACAAGAGGATTGGACTTCTCCAAAAGTTCAACAAATGGCAAGGGAAAGCCATTGAGAAGATGCAAAAGTCCATGGACAAGATGGTGAGCAAGATCAAAAGTTTGGAGAAGAAGGTTTCTGGTTCTTCAAGCAAGAAGAAGAAGTCCAAGGCCCCCACATTCCTTAGGAGTAGATCTCTTCTCACCACTCCAAGGAGGCTCCCTGCCCAAGAGCCTCACAGAGCCTCTTCTTTCGAGCCAAGGGAAGGAGAAGACAACACGCAGAGAAGGAGGAAGACTTCCAAGGCCAGACGCTCCAGCTCGACCACCGGACTCGATCGAGTCCAAACAGAGGAAACTCAACTCGATCGAGCTGACGGTCGAGTTGACCTGGAGGAGCCCCAGTTTGAGGATCCGGGATTTGATACGATCCCAGCCTTACCAGGAGCCTCCCCGGAGTAGATGGAACCCCTATGGACAGTACGAGCTAGCCAATGCTCCACCAAGGCCAAGGAAGCCACACACTTTGAGGAAGAAGAAGAGGAAGAGCAAGCTCGATCGAGTGCACAGACAAGTGAGTGGAGTGCTCCTGATGGCCGTCTCCCATCTCCAGACCACGACCTAGCCTCCCAGTTCTTTGGGGGGCACTGAGGTATCCAAACACCAACCCTTGTAATACCATTTCATATTTTCTTGCTTTTTTTGTTTTTTCTTGGTTTTGCCCTCTTGAATCTTTCACTAAATTTTTCTCACACAAGGGACTGTGTGATTTAAGTTTGGGGGAGGGTTCAAGAGATGATTTAACCTTGTTTTCTTTGTTCTTAGTTTTTCATTTATCTTTTGCATAGAAAAACCAAAAAAATCATAAAATTTTCAAAAAATCCAAAAATATTTTCATCTTTTTGCATTCATATTTGTTAGATTGTTTAGGATTGCATCTTTTCACTTGCATTGTTGATTTGACTTTGAAAACTTGTTCATCATTTGCGATTTCTTGAGTGCCCTGTTTTTAGATTCTTTTGTGCATTAGGGTGAGATTGATTGAGCAGCAAGAACCATGTTTATCTTGATCATATCACTGCATGCACATCTCATTCAACCATTGCTGTGATTTGATGCATTTCCCTATCTATTTGAACCATAACTTGATCTTTAATTACCAATGCTTGCATTTGATTTCAACTCATGGCTACCACATACATATCTGGACATTCTTTACTTTCATATCCCTTTGCTTGTCCAGATAGCTGATCTCTATCTTTGAGACAGTTACCACACCTTAAACCTAAGCCTTTTTCATTTCAAACCCCTTATTATCTCTTGTGCGAATGTGAGAACCTTTCTTGGCTTTGCTTAGCATAAGGTGTTGTGTTTAAACCGGCAGGGGCAGTAGTTCTAGTTGTCTAGTTCTCTTGGGATTGTTTTCAGGCTAAGTTTGGGGGTGCCAACTCGAGCTCGATCGAGTTGGGTGTCAAAAACCAGAAAAGTGGTAAAAATTGGGAAAATCCAAAGGAAAAAGAGTTTAGTTAAGTCCAGGGAGTTGGCAGTGTTAAAAAGGGTCTAGTAAAGGTTTGGGAAGTTAAAAAAGGAAGTAAAAAGGGTTCTAAGCCACGAAAAAACCACCAAGCTTTAGATTATCTTTGTTTTAGCTTCTTTAATTTATTGTCTTTACTTTTTAGCAACCCTAATCCCATCTTTGTGTTCTTGAAGCTCTTGCTTCTTGAATCTTAGATCCTGGATTATTTGCTTTGTATTTGCACTTGCTTATTTCAATAAAAGTTCTTTAATTTCATCTCCTCTTTCTTATGATGTCTATTTCATTGCATTTGCTTGTGTTTACATTCATGTGTAGTGAGTAGTTACCCATTAGGGTTTGAGATGGGTTAGATTAGAGGTTTCATATGCTTAATCTTCTAGCTTATGGTCTTAATCTAGATTCTCTCTCTTTTGGATAGATCTTAAGGCTACATGACCACTACCCCTGGCTTGTAAGTCCTTAGGCGACTCCCCACACGGAAGTGATGGCATTCGCTGGAAAAGATCCACTAAGAGCTCCAATATCTCTTGCTCTAGACAATAGAGGTCTAAGGGGTTGGATGGATTAGTTTGGGCAATGATCCTATGGCCTCCAAGGTTTGATTCTCACTGGCTAACCCCCTGTTTCTGAGATCATTCCTTGGTTGATAGCCTTCACCTTGGGAAAGGGTTGGTAGGCATTGAGAAGCCCAATATCAAGAGAAGCCTTGATACAAGGAGTTTTAAGAGCTAGATTGATTAAGTGTAGATTCCTTTGATTGCAAAACCCTGTCTTGAACCCTAATTCTCTCTTTTCTTGTTAAAGTCGTCACCTTTAGCTTTGTTTGTCTCAACTCGTCCCTAAACTCGATCGAGCTGGTACTTTGCTCTACTCGACTCGAGCTCTTGGTCGAGCTGACACTTCACTGCTTTCTTTACTTTTATTGCACTGCATTTTCATTATTTAGGTTGTTAGTGTTACTTCAAATCCATAACTGCTTGCTTGACTTCCTGGTTGTTTCATATTCTCATAGAGTGACAAGTTTCCCATTTTGGATTGATAACCCTTTGTACTACAACTATCATGGTTAAAGGGAATTGTTGACTGTGTTTGTGTTTGCATCTTACCACCATCATTTACCACTGATTGCATTCCACTCATCTCATTTCATTTCATATCTTTCCACTTATACACACAAAAACCTTTCATCAGGCAGCTGACCAGGTTATCCTCCGAGTCTTCCTCCCTTCATGCACAGCCTCCACGCTGCCAATCCGGTTGGGCTCTGACGTGCGAGAATGCGCTTGACTACACCTTCCTAGACAACATGTGGTTAGACACGCCACATGTTCTCAGTACTTAGCATATGGGCCTTTACGCACCACTATGCCTCATACCACCGGTTCTGCGGCAGAGCTTCCCTTGCCTCGGAAGAGTACCCACAAGAACCTCGAAAGATCTGGCGGCTCAGCCGTCCGTGATCTTTCCACATCGGAGTCATACTCAACATATGGGCCTCACGCACCACCATGTTAGTATGCACTCGAGGTTTAGCGGCATAGCCATGCTATAACCCCACAACCGATGCATCTATGAGATTTGGCGGCATAGCCATCCACAATCTCACATCACCTAATGTATAGATATGCATCTACACTAACAAGATCTGACGGCATAACCTTCCCCGAAGGTCACCCATCACAATCTTACACAGAAAAGAGATCTGTTGGCATATCCTTCCCCGAAGGTTACCCAACACAACCTCACACACAAAAGAGATCTGGCGGCCTAACCTTCCCCGAAGGTTACCCGACACAACCTCACAACACAAGAGATCTGATGGCATAACTTCTCTCCCTAGAAGATTACCCATCACAACCTCACAACAATGCAAACCTGCATATAAACACACAAGAGATTTGACGGCATAACTTCTCTCCTAGAAGATTACCCATCACAACCTCATAACACATTATATAAATTTCTGCAGCATAACTCTCCACAATTTTTACTAAACCTTATTGTTTAGAGAGTTATACTACAGAACCAATAACCAATATGAACAGAAAGCATCTCCCATGCTTTGGTGTTCATACAACCTGCATACACACACAAAGATCCAAAATACTAAAACTATAACACCAAGACTCACCACTTTAAGAAGACTTCAAGACCCTCCTAGCTTTCCTTAAGCTTTGATCTTGACCTACTCTAATCTTCCACTAACCTCACTTAATTAAGAAAACTTTCTTAATTACTCTCTAATCACTTTTCAGGTGCTCTCTAGCTTTGGGAATGGAATGGTTTGGACTTGGGGTGGAGGAGCGTATTTATAGGAGTTCAGGAGGCTGCCTGGCTTCTTGGGACGTCTCCAGTCGTCATAGACACATGGAGACCTAGGTCTAGCATAGCTTTGCTTGGTGGCAACCTACACTGCCTCAGAACGCGACATCCAGGCGGTCTAGGCTAGGTAGCTTTGATTGGTGGCCTCTAGGGCGTCTCAGGACATGACACACGTCATTCCTATCCCCTCTCAATGCTCATCCAATGAGCCGACTTCCCCCAAGCATGTGGTGTGATCGTCCGATTGGTTATAACTCATCTTATCCATTAAGATGTTGGGTGCTTCTGTCTGATTGGTCAGCTCTTGATCCAATCCGTTTCTCATCTTCCTACACTTGCTTCTCATCCACTCCTGAAGCTTCTCTCTCTCTCAGTGGTTGGTGTTGCATCCTGATTCGTCCAAGTCATTTCGTCTCCATTGAGCATCTCAATGTCTCCATTTGATTGGTTTGGACAATTCTTGTCTCTAATGAGCAGCTGGGTGTCTCTCCATGATAGAATTAGGTATTCTTGGAGTTTATCCACGCCCTCTCTCCTCTTTAGCAGCTGGTGTCGTTGTCCAATTGGCTTAGGCTTGCTTCGTCTTCATTCGGTAGCTGGATGTTGCTACATGATTGGCTGAATGGTTTTGGCTCCATCTGAGTAGCTGAGTGTCTTCTCCATACTGGTCTAGCTCATCCTTATCTTCCCCAAGTAGCTGGTGTCACCACTTGGTTGGCTTAGAACAAGATTGCTCCAAATGTACGTTTCCTCGTCCAGAGGGTTTCGTACGTTTCCCTGTCTGGAGGGTTTCGTCCCCGTCGTGATTGAGAATTAAAATCTCCTATTTTAATCCTTCTCTCATTTCCATGTTTCTAAGCTTCCACATAGTTGCTTAGAAATGTGCGGAATACCTCCATTCCGAACATTTACGGTTCTTGCAGTTGCTGCGGGATAAATCTTGGGCGTCCGTCCCATCTCTCAATCTGCTCGTCCGATTTGCATTCTGCTTCGACCAAACTTCTTAGAATGGTCTCTTATGTCTTCTAGACTCTTCTCTTCCCATGTTCGCACAATGATCGTTCCACCTGGACAATCTTGTTGTATCTTCAGTTCTGCTCGATCGTTCTTGATCCTGTCTTGATCCAAGTCTTCGTTGTGATCTCTGGATTAGATCCCACGTCTTTGTCTTCCAATCCCAGAGTGTTGATCTTCCCATCCCGGCCTTTGGGATGTTTTAGGTCTTGATACGGGGTATCACAGTAGTGGTCATGTAGCCTTAAGGATTATCCAAAAGAGAGAGAATCTAGATTAAGACCATAAGCAAGAAGGATTAAGCATAAGAGACCGCTTATCTATCCCATCTCAAACCCTAATTAGGAAACTACTCACTACACATGAATGAAAACTCAAGCAAATGCATTGAAATAGACATTAAATGAAAGAGGAGATAAAGATAAACAACTTTTATTGAAATAAGCAATGCAAATACAAAAAGATTATCCAGGATCTAGGATTCAAGAAGCAAGAGCTTCAAGAACACAAAGATGGGATTAGAGTTCAAAAAGTAAAGACAATAATTAAAAAGAAACTAAAACAAAAATAATCTAAAGCTTGTTGTTTTTTCGTGGCTTTTAGCCCTTAAATACAAAGGAGATTAGGTTTAGGGTCAAAGGAAAGTCAAGGGGGAAGCAACATTTTTCAGGTTTGACTGTTGACTTCTCAGCTTGATCGAGTTGAAGCTTGGCCGGTCGAGTAGGTGGTCGAGCTGGTCTTCAAGATGACTTCCTCTTCTCCCATTGCGTGTCCAGTTAAGCTGCGTCCATGCACCAAGTCCTTCCTTTCTCCTTACGTCCCATATGCTCCAAAGTGCTCCAAAAGACCTACTTCAAGGACCAAACATGCACATATATGCAAATGCAACCTAAAACTACTATGAATGCACAAGAAGGAAAAAGAACAAGATATGATGCTAATGAGCTAAAACTATGCAAAAGATGCATAAAAGATGTACTAAAACTATGTAAAATGCAAGTACATCAGTTCTCCTCCCCTTCCTGATCCTTAACTAGAGATTTTCCAGAGACATAATTGATATGCTTAGCCTGAAAATGAGCCAGGATCAGTTTGTCCAACTTCGAATTGAGTGCAAGCATGTCTTTTCGCATCTGTGCTTCCAGCGCGATCGAGTGCGCGGTCGAGCTCCAGTCTTTACTGTCACAATTCTGTACATAGCAATCACTTGAGATGGCCATGTTCTCCACAAGCTGCCAACCATCATCCACATTTTGATTAAGGAAGTTTCCATTGCTGGCTGTGTCCAACATCTCTCTATACCTTGCCAAACAACCTCTATAGAGAGTAGAGAGCAAAGACTCATTGTTGAAGCCATGATGTGGGCACTGACTTGTGTAGCCTTTGAACCTCTCCCAAGCCTCAGAATGTCTCATTGTTCGCTGTATGAAGCTGATATCTCACTCCTTAAGCTTGGCTGTGCGACCGGTGGAGAAAAACTTAGCAAGAAAGGCCTTCTTGCATTCATCCCAAGTGGTGATTGTGCCATGGGGCAAGCTCTTCTCCCATTGGTGAGCTTTGTCAGCTAGAGACATAGGAAAGAGTCTCAGCTTGATGGCATCTTCAGAGACACCATTGATCTTTGTCAAATCACAAACCTATCAAACTCATCAAGGTGGTCAATGGGGTCTTCACTTGGCAATCCATGGAACATCTTGTTCTGACAAGGTTGATCATTCCCAGCTTGATCTCAAAGTTGTGGTTCTGCACTGGTGGTGGAACAATCCCTTGTCTCTGTTGATGGCGGTTTGGAGCATCTCCTAGACCAATCGGTCGAGTTTGCCTAGCTCGACCGAGTCCATTGCCCAAAGGGTTTCCATTCCCTCTGGTACATCCATTGTATCAGTAACAAGCACCTCAGGTTCCTCTTGTACCCTCTGACCTCTGAACTTCTCTTTCTACCCGTGTAAAGTCTAGCTCGACCAAGTCTTCTGTTGACCGACTCGATCGAGTTCGCATACACCTGCAAAAAGAGACAAAAACCCAGCAGTACAAAGAACAGGGGTGGTATAGCTTGATCGTCCAAGTGTATTGAAACTCAAATGCAACAATATTCAACCCAAATGGCAACGGCGCCAAATTGATGATAGGATTTTGTGTGGATGTGAAATATGAAATGAAATGAGGTGGAATGCAACAGTGGTAATGAAGATGATGGTATGGTGCAAACACAATCACAATCAATCAATTCCCTTAACCATCATAGTCATTGAAGTATAAGGGTATCAATCCAAAAGGGTGAAATTGTCACTCTATGAGAATATGAAACACAAGGAAGTCAAGCAAGCAGTAAATAAGATGATGTAACACTAACAACCTAATGAAATGAAATGCAATGCAAAAGTAAAAAAGCAGTAAAGCAAGCAGCTCGACCAAGGACTCGAGTCGAGTGGGAACAGAGTAACCGAGCTCGATCGAGTTGAGGGTCGAGTTAGCGTAAAAAGCGATAAAGGCAACTTTAACAAGCTAATGCGAAATTAGGGTCTAAGACAGGGTTTACAATCAGGGAACTATACTTAATCAATCTTGCTCTCAAACAACTTGTATCAAGGTATCTCTTGATATTGAGCTTCTCAATGCCTAGCTAACCCTTTCCCAAGGTGAAAGCTATCAACCAAGGATGATCTCAGAAACAGGGGGTTAGCCAGTGAGAATCAAGCCTTGGAGGCCATAGGATCATTGCTCAAACTAATCCATCCAACCCCTATGAACTCCATTTCGAGAGCAAGAGTTATTGGAGCTCTTAGTGGACCTTTTCAAGCGATTTCCATCACTTCCATGTGGAGAATCGCCTATGGACATACAAGCCAGGGGTAGTGGTCATGTAGCCTTAAGGTTGTCCAAAAGAGAGAGATTTCTAGATTAAGAACATAAGCAAGAAGGATTAAGCATAGATCCCTAATCTAGCCCATCTCAAACCCTAATGGGTAACTACTCACTACACATGAATGTAAACACAAGCAAATGCAATGAAATAGACATCAAATGAAAGAGGAATGAAATAAACAACTTTTATTGAAATAAGCAAGTGCAAATACAAAGAAGATAATCCAGATCTAAGGATTCAAGAGCAAGAGCTTCAAGAACACAAAGAGAGGATTAGGGTTGCTAAAAAGTAAAGACAAAATTAAAGAAAAGCTAAAACAAAATAATCTAAAGATTGTTTTTTTTCGTGGCTTAGAGCCTTTAAATACAAGAGGATTAGGTTTAGGGTCAAAGGGAAGTCAAGGGGGAAGCAACATTTTTCGGGTTTGACTGTTGACTTCTCAGCTCGATCGAGTTGAAGCTTGGCCGGTCGAGTTGAGGAACTCGACCGGATGGTCGAGTAGGTGGTCGAGCTGGTCTTCAAGATGGCTTCCTCCTTCTTCCTTTGCGTGTCCAGTTGAGCTGCGTCCATGCACCAAGTCCTTCCTTGCTCCTCACGTCCCATATGCTCCAAATGCTCCAAAAGACCTATTTCAAAGGACCAAACATGCATATGTATGCAAATGCAACCTAAAACTACTATGAATGCATAAGAAGAGAAAAGGAACAAGATATGATGCTAATGGATGCTAAAACTATGCAAAAGATGCATAAAAGATGTACTAAAACTATGTAAAATGCAAGTACATCAGATCTCTGATACAACAAGACACTCAGTCTTATGTGAATCTCACACAATAAGAACAGAGCAAAGGTTTCTCTCAAGACAGTGCTTGAACAAGAACAAAACTCAACTTTATTAAAATGTATATTCAAGGGTGATTTACAATGAAAACGAAACTGAGACTATAATTATATAGGCTCTAGTACAAAGGTCTAAAGCTAAAATAAGTAAACAAATCGCAACAATGAAGGAGCAATGAGCCGTTGGAGGCTTGATGACCAAATCGGACCAAATAAGGAAATTTGGAGGCTCCTTGTATCTTGATAGCTTGGGCGTGAAGGAGTGGAACCTTGGGACGTCTAGGTTCAGTGAATGAGCTTTAAAAACGCAGCAGCAAAGAAGAAAGAGCCGTTGGTGACTTATGGCTCTAAGTGTGAACGCATCCAGAAAAGAAAAGTTCACAAATATGAGAATTCGCCTGATTCTGTGGGTGCTGGTGTATGGGAAGATGATAGAGACACTTCCTGAACGGTTGGATGGATCTTCTGGAAGCGTAGATATCTCTTCTGGTCGCTAAAGTCGGGTTTGTAACTGATTAAACCGTGAGCTTCCAAATAAGGCAAGTGGAGAATCATCTGGTTTGAAAGTTGAATAACTCTCAAACAAAACCGGCTATTGGTATGAATCCAATCTGAAAAGCTCCCAGATTGAGTCAAGATTCTATACCAGGTCGGTTTATAGCTCAATTCCTTCTGGTCTGATCGAAAACCTCCAATTAGCACGCCGGGGTCCAAATCAGGAAAGTTCCGGTTTACCCGATTTGTAGAATCGATAACTCTTAAACCAAACTGAATTTGGTCACGAATCCAATTCGACGTCTTCCTCTGATGAGTTAATAATCTAAAACAGTTGTGTTTGTGGCTTAGATCCTCCTGTTTGGACCGTAATGATTCGATGAGTTGACCTATGTCTCCTGCGGGTCCATTGAAGACCTTCCAGAATGTATCTTCTATATCTCCTTCATCTGGAATCCTTTTTGGTTGATTCTTCTTCGAGATGAACTCTGTATGAGTTGAGTATGTTCTCCAAGTGTTGTTTGAGCTTGGATGTTTGATGTCGGCCTCTAGTTGAGCTAGACACAGCTTGCTTGTCTCCTTAATTAGCTCTCCTCAGGTTCATGCTCTCCTCCTCTGGGCTCTGGATTCCGTGCTCCTCAGATGATGATGACTTGATGTCCTCATCAGCACTCCTATATAAGAAGCTCAATATTGATTGAACAGCACACAACCAATTCCTCTCTTGTTTTCTTCTTCTTCTATAATGTATAGTTCGTTCTTTGATGAGGAATATTCTCGAATGAGAGGGAATAAACATTACTTGTGAATAGTATATTTTTTAGAGAATTAAGAAGAGTTTTTTTTGTTGGAAGGCCGGTATCTGTTTCAATTTATACATGTAAGAATAATAACCACTCGATTAAAGAACCACTGGATTTTAATTTTCAAACACCGAAACACACAAATTTTTATTTATTTTCGTCATACATTGTAATTATGGATTTGGATGATCTAGTTCATCCTTGTAATCATCAAACAAGATATTACAATCTATAGATTTTATATAGAGCTTCTGATTCGGAATATCAAACCCAACGTTAAGATCTTGAAACGCCATAATTCCAATGTAATTTCTTCCATTTACTGACTCATCCACAATCAGACAATACACGTCACGGCGCATCTGGTAGAATAGCTTCCTCTTAGGAAAATTGATTGTTACATTGCCAATTCCGAGGCTCAGGTTTATTCCCAGGTTTTTTGGTATCTTCCCGTTGTAACATAACAATGGATTATAATCCGTCGTGTACGCGTTTTCATAAGCCACCATTTTTTCTTTGATATTTCCAATGACAGCATGGTATGCATTTGAGACCAAAGAAAGAGCAGAATGTCCTGTGTCCATTATTGTAAGGGACATGGACAACAGAATATCTAAACCTAGATTTTGTTCATTGATGGCTATTGAGGTCATAGTGACATTAAGTAGATTTCCTAGTGCTACAGTCGGTCCAGACAATACTGCACCATCTCCTAAAGCGAGAAACTCATTTGTTCTCTGAAACCTATTAAGGTTTCCTAGGCAGATCGAGAATGTTTTATTAAAGGAACTAGTTATGGACAGATCACCCGGAGCTAACCCTAGGGTGCCCGTCCCCGCTAGCTGCCCTCTGATCATATTTCCAATGCCAAAAACTACGTCCTTTAACGAACTTATACCCCTATTCCAACTTTCGAAAGTAAGGGTTTCTGTACCTAGGGTACCTCTTACCAATGAATGGTCCACAAACCTTTTTTCGAAATCACATCGTCCCTTCATCGCACCCGGAGTCAATGAGGCTGATCTTAATCCGAGACAACTTCGATACCGAAACGATGATGACGCCAACGGATTATAGTCGGAGTGAGGATTCTGGAGGACATAAGTGAGATCAGTACCGCTGTCGATGTGCAACCTTTGTTGAATCATTGGATACCCTATCGCCATGTGCGCATAGATGGCCGGGGGATCATTATGAAATTCAATCGTTAAAACCTTTTTCCGATCATCTGTGTCAAAGGTTTCTATAGGCAGGAATTGAAAGTGAAAGCTTGAAAGAAGAAAGAACAAGAAAAAGTTTATCATTTTGAGAGATAAGATGATCTGGCGTTTAATTAACAAGATACTTTGGAAGGCATGTGGAGGTATGTGTGTGTATATATATAGTTTATAAGTTATTATGAAAATATATTCAAGAAGTGTTGTTTGACAACATTTTTCGAAATGATGTCATATAAGATTTCTAAAAATGTTGTTAAACAAAACGCCTTAATGTATTCACGTTATTACCGTGACTAATGTCGTAGGTATACCACGCTTCTAGCCAGTGGCATGCGAAGTGCCATGCGAAGGTCAATGGATGTTTAAGGCAGACTTTAATTATGAATGGGGTTTTTTATATGGGAGAGTTGGTTTTAATATTATAAAAACTTTTCCTAATCTCAAACTAATTCATGTTTAAAAAACTTTGAAAAAATAATATTTTTAATAAATGAAATGAACAATAAAACCATTATTCAGTTTTTTGAAATTATAAATAAAAAGCAAAAAGATAAGGGAGAGTTGGTTTAATATTATAAAACTTTTCCTATTCTGAAAACTAATTCCTTTTTAAAAAACTTTGAAAACTAATCTTTTTAATAAATGAAATGACAATAAAACCATTATTCAGTTTTTCAAAATTATAATTAAAAAGCAAACAGAAAACTTAAAAAATAAAAAATATCTTAATTTTCAATATTTTAAATTTCATATATATATATATATATATTAGTCATTATTAGTCATATATAACCACAATATTAGTCATTCTCATATATGATTTAAAATATTTTTCCTCTTTTCTTGTGATTCATTACAAAATTTCATGATACATTTTGCTTCACTCTGTCTCTATAAACACCAAAAATATGCATCATTTTTGTTAAAGTAAAAATATGCAGCATTTTGTAACAAATATTCATGGTTCACTCTCTAAAAAGCTTATTAGATGTTTTAAGGTTAAACTCAGGCTATGTATTTAAATTTCAAATCAGATCTTCATAATATCCTTTTTTTCTTGTTGAAATTTTATCTCAATAGTATTTTTTTGAATTATGTGAACCAATTATTTTTTCAGTTTAAGTAATATTAAATTCGGATATTAAATAAATAAATAAATAAATTTGAAACAATTTTGTATCTAAAAAACGGTATTTTAGTAATTTTGGTAATTAAAAAGGTTAGTTTCCAAACATTTTAAAAGAGGGGTTAGTTTTCAAAATATTTGTAATTTATGTAATATTAGTTCAAATTTCCTCTATAAAATATATATATATATATTTTTTGTTCATATATGATTATATTTTAATTCAGATTCTCTTAATCTATGAATACAATTGAGTTTTCTCTGAGGGAAAACAACATAGGATCTTTCCCTCGTGGTTTATCACTTATGCTTCAATCTGTCGTAAGTTTATATGCCTTTTATGGTTTTGTGTCCGTCACTCTGTCTATTTAAGTATAACTCCTTATTTGATTATTGGTTGTTCATGCAAAATGTATATACATTATGGATCCTTTTGAGCCATTAAAGTATGAGAAAATTACAGTCAAAGGCACTTTATCAAAATGTATTAACACCTAAAGGCACTTGTTGCTCCCTATGACTTTGCCTACTTTTTGTGTGAAACAAAATTCCAACTATGCCCTTTCTTTAATCTGGACACCTTCTCTCCCATTTTTTACCATGTGATTTTACCAGAGAAAAAAGTGTCTTTTTTATACTGGAAATCTGACCGCCGAAGTAGCCGGAGGAACAAAACACGGAGACGCCTCCAATTATGCAGCGCCGATGAGATACCTGTTATGGAAAAACATGGGCTGGTTAACTATCCCTGCCCTTTAAACTTAATATAAAACTCTGCACCTCCAAATATGGAACTAGATTGACTCTTAACATTTTCGTCGCTGGGCAAGCTCTATAGCGTTGGGTGAAGACCATACAAAATACTAACCAATAACACTCGTACAGATGCGAGTAACCATACATGATTAATGATGCACGCTTTTTCAATTAATGGACTTACTCCGTAAAGATCATGGTTTTTCAACCATAGATAGCACATCTAGGTATGTGTACATGTACAAATGGATTAACGTCCGTGGATGCGCTAGCATGGATACCTGATTTTATACTGACCCTTTGTAGTTCTAGACCCCCAATTTTAGATTTCATTTAATACAAAGTATATATGTACATATACCTATATTAAGGTGTCCAGATTAAAGAAAGGGCATAGTTGGAATTTTGTTTCACACAAAAATTCCACCTATGACTGTTACAGAAGAGAAGTGACAGATTAATCACCTAGCAGTCCTTAAAACAGAGAACTAAACGGATGTCTTCACCTTCCTCGAACGACGGTGGCATGGATATGACATGGCATGGATACATGTTCTTACACTGACCTCTCGTAGTTCTAGACCCCAAGATTCATATTTCATTTGTACATATTTATATCCGTATCCTTGGTTATATTACATCATGGATGATATGGTATGGATACCTGTTTTTATACTGACTTTTCGTAGTTCTAGACCCCCAGTTTCAGATTTCGTTTACTACATATGATATATGTGTACATGTGCAGCTGGATTAACGCGTGTGGATGCTACGGCATGGACACTATCTTTTGCACTGATCTCTCGTAGTTTAGCCCCACTTTCATATTTCATTTACACAAATAATATATGTGTACATGTATAGCTAGATTAACGCGCATGAATGCTATGACATAGATATCTGTTTTTACACTCACCTCTCGTAGTTCTAGACCCACAGTTTTATATATGTGTACATATACAGCTAGATTAACGCCCGTGGATGCTATGGCATGGATACATGTTTTTACTATCATTACCTTCCATAACTGTTACAGAAGAGAAGTGACGGATTAATCGCCTAGCAGTCTTTGAAACAGAGAACCAAACGGCTGCCTTCGTCGAACGGCGGCGGCACGGCATGTATACCCGTTCTTACACTGACCTCTCGTAGTTCTAGAACCTCAGTTTCATATTTCATTTGTACATATTTATATCTGTATCCCTGGTTATATTACATTGTAGATGATATGGTATGGATATTTGTTTTTATACTGACCTCTTGTAGTTCTAGACTACATGTTTGATACTATGATTTTACTATCAATTATCCTAAAGCAGTGTATCTATCGCAGTAGTACTTTAGGTATCAATCCAATCAGGTGAGATGCTAGCAATCAAGATATGACAGAACTACTCAATTCAAGCCAAATCTATCAGGTGGTGTGACAGTGAACAAAAGAGATCGAGTGCAATATGAATGCAATCGAGCTGAAACAATAAAATGACGGATGTGAATATCAGAGAAAGATCAAGCTCCTAAGGATGGGGTAATCGACTGTAACTACTCCTAACGTGATCTCGTCGCTTAACAAACCTCAAACACGGGCTAGATCCCTCAACAACGAACTCGACAGACAAGATCAATTCGCTTTCACGAAAGAGATCAACAAACTAGTGAATTCTCAAGACCTAATCATCATTAGCGAAGAAAACACAAGCAAGCATTAAGTTCGGATTCGATAGAGTCGAAATACTCTCTAGACATCTAATCCCTTAGGCTAGAACAGTAAATCTCTGGATCAGCTGGTTCAGACATCTCATCGAACGCCTCATGAGCGTGGAAATGTCTAAGATCCAGATCCAGGTGATCAGAAAGAATCTGGGATGAAGCTCACTAATCCAGAAGGGATCGATTTGACAAACAATTCTTAAGCAACTCGATCACGCTAGGGTTCGCTACAGATCTATCCCATCCTCAGAAACTTAAACGAAACTACTCGCTAGAACTCATCATACATATTTCAGAATCAAAAGAGATAGAGTGCATAATCAAAGCGACAAAGAGATAGAATCGAGAATCAAAAGTACTTAGAACTCCAAAAACAAATCTGAATACAACTCTGTTCGAATGTAAAAATGAAAGATAGATTTGTGGAGGCTGCACCTCTCTCTGGTTTTGATACTCGAAAACCTAGTGTTTTAGAAAAATCGGGAAATAAAATAAAAAGGGAAAAGTTGGCCGAAACAAGCACTGGGTCGGATCCCTTAATGGGCTGGATCGATCCCGTCAGAACGTGGGCCCTCTCGCTTGACTTTGACTCCGTCTCTCAGGTTTGACGTCGGCGCTACGGCGTTCATACTTGAGTCCAGCGTGACCTCATCGAGCTCGATCACAGCACTCGACCTCGTCCAATTCGATCACTTGATGTTTGATAGCGTCGGCACCACGTCTACTCTGTCACTCCAGCTCTGTACTCCAGCTCCATCACTCCAGGAAACACCTAAAACTGACACAAATGTACAAGATGCAACAATGCTAGTCCTAAATGCACTAAATGCGGAATATGAGTGAGATGAGTGAAAACAATGCAAATGAACGGTTATGGATGCAAAAACATATACAATCGAGTGCTAAAAACATGCAAAGTATGAACACATCAACACCCCCAAACTTAGTCTTTGCTTGCCCTCAAGCAAACAAGCGCGACCAAGTCATAGAGGTGAGGTTTGAAGGTGGGGGCTCAGAACCAAAACATGCCAATAAAGAAGATAAAATCAATGTCCTAGTTGCTAGTTCTGAGGCGCAAGGTGATAGAGTCAATCATAAAAATCTCAGTCAATCTCCTTAACATTCAATTACGAGTAACAGTGAATCGAGCTGTGCAACTAAATCGAACTCAATCGGCTAAGGGTAAGGCTTTTTAGAGACAGAGCACGAGTCTCACAGGTGGTTCAGTTCTTTTTAAAGCGATGGGGTTCTCTCAAAGAAAGGTTCGAGCTTTAGAAGAATGCTAAAGGTAAAGACCAACTGATGTGTACAAGAGATCGATCCCATCTACCCAGAAACAAAGGTAACATCCACTGAAACTTCAAACCCAGAACTGTTCCTAACTCTACCCTTTTTCTTGAGACAGATCAGAACGAATTCGTTCTCTTCATTTTAAGGGTCTAAGGGAATAGCTTTCTTTTTTTCTCGATGGCTGCAGCTCTATCTAGACTCGATTCCTAAGTATATACAAACATTTTTTTTTTTTTTTTTGTTTATATTTTTTTATTTTTTCCGAATCTGTCTAGACATACAGAGAGCTAGAGCTGCCTTACACTACAATGTTTCCCAATTCCCTTAGACTCTAACTCTTTATTTTCCCTTCTGACTCTATCTCAATTCCCCTCGACATCAAAGATAGCTTAACATATAGCACCCCCAAACCTAGATCTAACTGACTCAGAAAGCGTGAGTCAGATCTATATGGGATTTCTCTCTTGTCGGTCCTAATCCTAACACTTTCTTCCAAGCTCAAACCTAAAAATAAGCCTAACACTCAGTAAATAATCGGGGCTGAAAAGAAAAGTTGGTTAGAGGGCGTGGATACTGTTCCAAAAGGGGGAATCAGATACCTAGATTAACAAGATTGGCAAACAGATAGAAGCAAATCCAGATATCTATTAAGTGACCATGACCTTGATCTTGGTGCACAACAAGATAATTATCACAATTAAGTTCAGATAGATGGAGAATGACTTCAATTCACAATATGCGTTCAGACTCAATCGGTTATGCACTCAAAGAACTAACAACGAGGACACTGAAATTTTCCACTTTAATCATCACAGACCCCTATGCAAGTGCAACAGTTCTACATGAATGCGTAGACTTGATCTAAAGATGCAATGCAAACTTTTTTTTTTTTTTTTTTTTTTTTTTTTTTTTTTTGAATGCATGCAAAGATATAATACAGAAAAACAAAGAAAAGAAGTCAAATATATCCTGAACCTTCCCCCCCCCCAAAACTTGAATTACACAGTCCCTTGTGTAATAAAAGTCTAGAAAAGAAGATTCAAGAAAGAAAAGGTTAAACTAAAAATGGATTGTACAATGAGATAGAGTTCGAGTGGACCTTCAGTAGTTGAACTGGAAAAGCGAATCGGTCGCTTCCTCCATGGACTCCTGAGTGTCTGGTGGAATGGTGGAGGAGCCAGCTGGTTTGGTCGTGTGTGGGACGTGGTGCTCAGTGGGGCTCGAGTGCATCTCCGGGTAATCTGGTGCGGTGGTGTGCGGCGCGTAGTGGTCAGCAGCAGTGCTCGACGGCATCGCTGGATAATCGTCGTGGGTGGCCGGGCGTGGTACAAAGGAAGATCGCCGGAACAGGCGTGTCGGCGTCAGCACGTGTCTCTGACTGTCCTGGTGTCTGGTGCTCGTGCTTGCGTCTCTTCCTCTCGCGCGGCTCGTAGGAAGAGTAGCGCGGCTGGTCGGTAGTGTGTTGGCGAGAGCCGGTGGGGACGGGATCAAGCTCTTCGTCGGATAGATCGATCGGCTGCGGGTCGACCGGTGCCGTGCTTCTCCGAACTCCTCCAGAGGTCGAGGTGCAGCTCAGCTTGTCCTGCATCGCTTGGATTTGGTCACCCATCTTCTGGAACTTCTTCTTGAACTTGTTGATGACCTTGTCCTAAGCCTTGTTCCATCGCTGGAGTAGTCCTATACGCTCGTGCACGGCCTTTAATCCAGCGCTCTGCCTCGGTGCCATGTACTCCGTGAAATGAAACTGTTCGAACTCGTCCATCGGTTCGGTCGCGTCTGCTCGTGATGGTGAGCCGCGAGTTCGGGTGGCCGGCGGGGTCGAGTGATCGGCAGTCGCTAATGGGGCTCGAGTGGTCGAAAGCGGCTGAAGTACGGATTCGGGCGGGTCAAAATCGATGTTGGAGCCTCCCCGGATCGCGGTCCAACTCAGGTTGGGTAGCAGCATCTAAGATTTCCCGAACCGCAGGTGGTGAAATTTGATATGACTATGGCCAGCGCCAAGGTCAAGGAGCATGGACTTAAGCTTGAACCTGATGGAGTTAAGGACTTAAAGCTTGAACCGGTGGAGCAGCTTGAACGTGAGGGAAGTAAACTTGTAGCTGAGGATGAGCTTGAACCGGAGCTTGTAGCGGAGGAAGCTTTAGCGGCACCAATGAAATTGGTTACTCATTCCAGAGTTAATCTTGAGCCAAAATGGAGACAACATGATCCTAAACCTCCCTGGTTTTTGATCCAAGCTCAAGAGATCAACAAATGGGCATGTGTCTCATTTGTACTCTTTTTCCCTTGTCAAGTTTTGTCCCAATGGGTTTTCTTGACAAGGTTTTTAATGAGGCAAATGGGTCACATACAAATCACCCATTTAGCTGATCAAGACCAAGGCCCATCAATAAAGAAGACTAAAAACGTGGCCATGAAGATCAAGAGTCTTATTTGTGTTCAAACTTTGCTTTAATTATGTTTGCTTTTCCGAGATAGTCTTTGGAGCTTGTTCCAAGACTAGACTCTTTATTCCTCTCTTCTCCTTTCCCCTTTATATGTCCTGGACGAAATTCCCTTTTGGATAATCAATCTTTTAATCAAAAACCCTTTTGTTTATTCATTCAAACCTCTTAGTGTGTAATATCTAAGATCCCTTTTAGTTTACTTAAAGTGTTTCATATCTTTAAGGAATCTAAACCTTGTCCATCTCTTGGTGTGTAATATCCTGGAGATCAACGAGAGCCTTGTCCATCTCTTGGTGTGTAATATCTTTGAGATCAACAATTTTGGTATTGAGAGATCCTTCCGCAGATCTCTTGTTATAGCCACTCAATTATTCCCCAGTCAATCCATCATCTCGCCCAATTCCACTCCATCTCTCTTTCATTCTATCTTCATCATTTCATCCTTCAATCTTGCTTCAAAGTGCCGATCTATAATCAGGGGTGATGTACTTGCATTTTACATAGTTTTAGCACATCTTTTATGCATCTTTTGCATAGTTTTAGCTTCCATTTGCATCATATCTTGTTCCTTTTCTCTTCTTATGCATTCATGTTAGTTTTAGGTTGCATTTGCATACATATGCATGTTTGGTCCTTTGAAATAGGTCTTTTGGAGCATTCTGGAGCATATGGGAGGAGCATGGAGGGACTTGGCACATGGAAGCAGCTCAACTGGATACGCAAAGGAAGAAGGGAGAAGCCATCTTGAAGACCAGCTCGACCGTCTACTCGACCAACCGGTCGAGTTCCTCAACTCGACCGGCCAAGCTTCAACTCGATCGAGCTGAGAAGTCAAAGTCAAACCCGAAAAATGTTGCTTCCCCCTTGACTTTCCTTTGACCCTAAACCTAATCCTCTTGTATTTAAAGGCTCTAAGCCACGAAAAAACCACCAAGCTTTAGATTATTTTGTTTTAGTTTCTTTTAATTTATTGTCTTTTACTTTTTAGAGATCTAATCCCATCTTTGTGTTCTTGAAGCTCTTGCTTCTTGAATCTTAGATCCTGGATAATCTCTCTTGTATTTGCACTTGCTTATTTCAATAAAAGTTGTTTAATTTCATCTCCTCTTTCTTATGATGTCTCTTTTATTGCATTTGCTTGTGTTTACATTCATGTGTAGTGAGTAGTTACCCATTAGGGTTTGAGATGGGATAGATTAGAGGTTTCATATGCTTAATCCTTCTAGCTTATGGTCTTAATCTAGATTCTCTCTCTTTTGGATAGATCTTAAGGCTACATGACCACTACCCCTGGCTTGTAAGTCCTTAGGCGACTCCCCACACGAAAGTGATGGCATTCGCTGGAAAAGATCCACTAAGAGCTCCAATATCTCTTGCTCTAGACAATAGAGGTCTAAGGGGTTGGATGGATTAGTTTGGGCAATGATCCTATAGCCTCCAAGGTTTGATTCTCACTGGCTAACCCCCTGTTTCTGAGATCATTCCTTGGTTGATAGCCTCCACCTTGGGAAAGGGTTGGCTAGGCATTGAGAAGCCCAATATCAAGAGAAGCCTTGATACAAGGAGTTTTAAGAGCTAGATTGATTAAGTGTAGATTCCTTTGATTGCAAAACCCTGTCTTGAACCCTAATTCTCTCTTTATCTTGTTAAAGTCGTCACCTTTAGCTTTTTTGTCTCAACTCGTCCCTAAACTCGATCGAGCTGGTACTCTGTTCCACTCGACTCGAGTCTTGGTCGAGCTGACTTCACTGCTTTGTTTACTTTTATTGCACTGCATTTCATTTTTAGGTTGTTAGTGTTACTTCAAATCTATAACTGCTTGCTTGACTTCCTGGTTGTTTCATATTCTCATAGAGTGACAAGTTTCCCATTTTGGATTGATAACCCTTTGTACTACATCAACTATGATGGTTAAAGGGAATTGTTGACTGTGTTTGTGTTTGCATCTTACCACCATCATATACCACTGTTGCATTCCACTCATCTCATTCATTCTTTTCACATCCACACACAAATCCTATCATCAATTTGGCGCCGTTGCCGATTTGGGAATATTTTTGTTGCATTTGAGTTTCAAACACACTTGGACGATCAAGCTATACCACCCCTGTTCTATTGTACTGCTGGGTTTTTGTCTCTTTTTGCAGGTGTATGCGAACTCGATCGAGTCGGTCTAACTGAAGACTTGGTCGAGCTAGACTTACAACGGGTAGAAAGAGGGTTCAGAGGTCACAGAGGGTACAAGAGGAACCTGAGGTGCTTGTTGCTGATACAATGGATGTACCAGAGGGGAATGGAAACCCTTTGGGAATGGACTCGGTCGAGCTAGGCAAACTCGACCGATTGGTCAAGGAGATGCTCCAAACCGCCACCAACAGAGACAAGGGATTGTTCCACCACCAGTGCAGAACCACAACTTTGAGATCAAGCTGGGAATGATCAACCTTGTCCAGAACAAGATGTTCCATGGATTGCCAAGTGAAGACCCCATTGACCACCTTGATGAGTTTGATAGGCTTTGTGATTTGACAAAGATCAATGGTGTCTCTGAAGATGCCATCAAGCTGAGACTCTTTCCTATGTCTCTAGCTGACAAAGCTCACCAATGGGAGAAGAGCTTGCCCCATGGCACAATCACCACTTGGGATGAATGCAAGAAGGCCTTTCTTGCTAAGTTTTTCTCCACCGGTCGCACAGCCAAGCTTAGAGGAGAGATATCCAGCTTCATCCAGCGAAACAATGAGACATTCGCAGAGGCTTGGGAGAGGTTCAAAGGCTACACAAGTCAGTGCCCACACCATGGATTCAACAATGAATCACTACTCTCCACTCTTTATAGAGGATGCTTGCCTAGGTATAGGGAGATGCTAGACACAGCTAGCAATGGGAACTTCCTCAACCAGGATGTAGATGATGGCTGGCAACTTGTGGAGAACATAGCTAACTCAAATGGAAGCTATGGAGAAGAGTATGATCGCACCAACCGGAGCTCGACCCACCACTCGATCGAGTCAGACGAAAAGTTGAGAAAAGATGTTAAGGCATTGAATGAGAAGTTGGATAAGCTGATCCTAGCTCAGTCCACAATGAAGAAAGTCAACTTTGTGTCTGCTGAGGAGATGGAACCAGTCCAAGAAGGGGAGGATACACAATTTGCTGAGGTGTGCTACATGAGCAATGGGCAAGGAGGTTACAACAAAGGATACTATAATTACAAGTCCAACCCTGCCATGTCATACCGCAACACTGATGTTGCTAACCCTCAGGACCAAGTATATCCTCAACAACAAGCAGCTCGATCGAGTCAAGGTGCCACAACATGGGTATGGTCAAAAGAACAATTACCAAGGACCACAAGGCACTTTCCCTGGACAACAAATGAATATCCCACCAGGCTTCCCCACCAACCACCCCAGCCTGCACCTTCACAAGAGAATGAGCTCAAGGCAATGCTAAAGCAACTACTTCAAGGGCAAGCTGATGGGGTAGTGGACACAAGCAAGAAGCTAGCTGAAATAAACTCTAAGATCGAGAACCTCAACACAAGGGTTTACTCTCTGGAGAATCATGCTTCTTCTGTTGCTGCTGCTACAAAGCAAGGACAACTACCTGGTAAAGCTATTCAGAACCCCAAGGAACAGTGCAAGGTCATCTTCACTCAAGAAGGACTTGTTGAAGAAGAGGATCAAGAAAGGGTCATTGAAGATTTTTGTTTACTGCTGAATGATGAAGAGATTGTTGCTGCTGAGGCTCCTGGAGTCCAGATTGATCAACCAGAAGTGCAGCACCTACTGTGGCCATTCACACTTCACCAGTTGAGCTCGCACGACAAGCTCGATCGGCAGCTCGATCGAGTCCAACTCTAGCTCGATCGAGTCCGACCTCTTCTGTCCGACAACCTGTTTTGCTTGATCCTTACCAACCGGTTGCCGCTTCCTCGTCTCGCCTACTTAGTCAAGGTCACAAGGAAGTGATTCACAAGTTCAGAAGAGATCTCAGTGGGATTGGAATTGAGTTGCCTCCTATGGATAGCATGAGTGAGGCATTTGATCAAATGCAAATGGTCAAGGATGTTCTAGCCAACAGTGATAAAGTTTCAGAGGTCCTACAAGAGTCTACTCATCAGTTCAACCTGCTTACTTCACCCACCTTCCTACCAAAGGTCAAGGATCAAGGGAAATTCACTCTCCCTTGCACACTTGGGCATCTTGAGATTGACAATGCCTTAGTGGATTCTGGAGCAAGCATCAATCTGATCTCTCTCTCCATGGCAGAGAAGCTAGGCATTGCTGGAGCCTTGCAGCGCCCTACTACTTCAATCATGTTTGGAGATGCAACTTCTAAGTCTCCTCTTGGAGTGTTCAAGAACTATCACTTGAAAATTGGAGAATGCATCATCCAAACTGATCTCACTGTGATGGAAATGGAAGAAGAGAAGGATTTGCCTCTGTTATTGGGAACCCCTTTCCTTAGTACAGTTGGCGCTTCAATAGACTTTCACAAGCAAGAAGTGATCCTTCACAAGGTGAATAGTTTGGTGTCATATCGCTTGCAGCCTAGAGGTTCAGACTTTTGTGCCACAATTGACAGTACCAATCTCAGTTCTAAGAGTCATGGAGCTACAAAGGTTGTGAAGGAAAGGGTTGACAAGGAACCAAGAGTTGGGAAGGATAAGGATGAGAGAGGACCAAGGATTGAGAAGCCACGTCTTGAGAGGGCTAGAGTTGAGAAACCACGTCTGATAGGCCAAGAGCTGAGAGACTTGTTCAAGCCCCTTGTGTGCTTGATGAAGAGAGCCTTCAAGCTTTGTTTGATGAGCCACTAGGAAGGGCTCTAAAAGAAGGGGAGGATGTAGCCTCTAAGGCAAGACCAGGGATAAAAGAAAGATCCACCAGCTCAGGCCCCTTCAGTCAAGCCATCTCAGCTCACAATGACTTTGTTCCCCACCAAGTTTGAAAATGGGAAGATTGAGTACAAGATAAGGTACAAGGGGAGATCAAGGCCATTCTCTAGAGCCAAGGCCTTGGTGACTTCAGAACAGTCCAGGGACCCAACCAAGCTAAAGGAGCTTCTGTCTCAAGTCCTCACTATCACCCTTGATGGTGGGACTAGCTCAACCAATGCCTAAGAAGGTAAAGGTCAAGCTATGGGACCTTAAACAAGCTCACTTGGGAGGAAGTCCCATGTTTATCCTTGTACATACTCTATTTATGCAATTTCTATCTATCTTTATGTTTTTAACCTTTGAATAAGTTAAGTTTAGGTGTCAAAGGAGCCAGCTCGACCGATAGCTCGATCGAGCTAGAAACCAGGGCAACTCGATCGAGCTACACAACTCGACCGAGGTAAGTTTTTGAATTTCAAATTCATAACCGTTTTCTTGGTCAAGGGAGTGGGTCCCACAAGCTGATTTTGGTCCCCCACTACCCTAATTGATCAGAGAATCCCTAGCTTTCTTGTTCCCTCTTTATTTCATCTTTTAATCTCAACCACACATCTCAAACACTCCCTCTTCCCCATAACTCGATCGAACCCACTTCTCTCTCCCACACATCTTAAAATTTCTGAAATCATCCTCTCTCTCTTCACCACAAGAAATTTCGAATTTCTCTCTTTCTCTCTTAAGTTTTTGCGATTTCTGTTCATCTTCTTGTTTTGCTTGGGTTTTGTTTACTGCTCTTCAATTCATCATTCAACAAGGTATGAACCCTAAAACCCTTGATTCTCCATCTCGATTTCCATTTTGCTTGTTTCTCTTTGATTTTTGATTGCATGTGTCCCTTGTGGACTTGTTCTTGAGTAATTGCTTTCATATTTCGCCTCTGCTGTATAACTTGTTAGTTTGCCTCACCTCACCTCTGTTTTGCCTTTAACTTGTTGCATGTGCTTGAAATTGAATTTGAGTTTGGTATTGGTTAAGATGCTTAGTTTTCACTAGAATTGCTCATTGTTCCATTTACTAGTTGTTCTTGGTTCAATTTGATTGATTAGCATCCTTTCCAGCTCTTAATACTTGAATTAGGTTTGGTTATACTCTGTTTTCACCTAGCTCGATCGAGTTTGTCACTCGAGTTTTTTGACTCGATCGAGCTGAGTGTCGAGTTGACCAAACCGATCATTACAACTCTAATTCTTTGTAATCTTTGATGCATTTCAGGTACTTTAGTGAAGAAACAGTGTAACAAGATGACAAACAGTGAGGGAAGTCGCGCTTCACAAGGAGAATGGTTGAGGGTGAATCAAGCAATGCAAGGGAAAGAAGGCTTAAGATGCAAGCCGATTTGGAGAGGATGATCAGAGGATGGAAGAGTCTGATGCAGAGGGATATGTCTACTCTGAGGAAGTCTGAGAGTGAGAGATTGAGGGAGGAAAGGAGAACCAAGAAGAGGAATGACCCATTAGTAGTGAGAGTGAGCAAGGGGAGTTTGAGATTGGAGTGAACCTTGTTCAAGAGGAGGGAAATGGTCTCCAAATGAAGAAGGAAGTGATGAGACTGAGAGTGAAGAGGAAGGAGAAGAGGTGAATCAATTGGTTGATGAAGTGAGCAAGAGTAACCAAGATGAACCTATGGAGGAGGTTGAGCCACAAGAGCAAGAGGAGGAGAGAACTCCCTATGTACCAAGAGCACTACAATGCTCTCTTCTCCATGGACTTCATGGAGACCAAGTACCCACATGTTGACACAATGAAGGCCCTTGGAATCTTTGAGGATGTGGAGTTGGTCTCAAGAACATGCACTTGGCCAAGTTCTTCTCTTATCACATGGAATCCTACAAGGAGCTCACTTGCGAGTTCTAGCTTCAATGAGGTACCACATGTATGAGAGAAGATAGAGCTGATTTGGACCAAGGATTGGGATGGATCACGTTCTTGGCTAAGGGAGAGAAGAGAATGGTGACCTTTAGGCAGCTTGGAATCTTGTTTGGGTTCAACTATGGAGAGGTACCAAGTGGAACTTCAAGGAAAAGGAACTCCAAAGGGTTTGGGCTACAATCGCTGATGGAGTGTACTCTTCCTCAAGGTCCAAGGCTGCTCAGATCAGGAGCCCAGTCTTGAGGTATGTGCACAAGGCACTTGCCAACACCTTCTTTGCAAGGAAGGCGACCGGGACAATCAACGAGGGGGAACTCAAGTTTCTTGACATGGGAATCAAGCCCATCTCTCACGCACAAGGATGGCAAGAGGATCAAGGGGAGATAGATCACACAGGGAACTTGATGCCTTCCTTGACCATCTCCTCACCTACAAGATCACAGCCTACAACACTAGGCATCAAGAGGAAGGCGCTAAGTGTTGGAGGGCTCATCACACCTAGTGAGGAGAGCCACTGAACCAGGTTGGATGGACATCAAGTTTTGCAAGACCAACCTTCTCATTGAGCACAAGGAGTTGGATGGGAGATTCCAATTCAAGTTCACACATCCATTGGCTGGACCCTCCAAGCTTCTCCTGCCCAACCCAGAGCTCACCACAGTTAGGGGTGAGAACATTGACTTCAGACCCCCTGTGTACACTTAGTTGGGCATGAAGCGGATTTGCAGAAGAAGAGATGAGCTCGATCGAGCTGAGGATCGAGCTGAGTCAGCTGAGGATCGAGTGAGGACAGCAGGAATGCGGATTTGGGTGAGCCTGAGTGCTATTACTTTGAGGAGTATGAGGCTCCAAGGATGAACCCCTCTGTTGTGGCTGCCCACAAGAGGATTGGACTTCTCCAAAAGTTCAACAAATGGCAAGGGAAAGCCATTGGAAAGATGCAAAAGTCCATGGACAAGATGGTGAGCAAGATCAAAAGTTTGGAGAAGAAGGTTTCTGGTTCTTCAAGCAAGAAGAAGAAGTCCAAGGCCCCCACATTCCCTAGGAGTAGATCACTCCTCACCACTCCAAGGAGGCTCCCTGCCCAAGAGCCTCACAGAGCCTCTTCTTTCGAGCCAAGGGAAGGAGAAGACAACACGCAGAGAAGGAGGAAGACTTCCAAGGCCAGACGCTCCAGCTCGACCACCGGACTCGATCGAGTCCAAACAGAGGAAACTCAACTCGATCGAGCTGACGGTCGAGTTGACCTGGAGGAGCCCCAGTTCGAGGATCCGGGATTTGAGTACGATCCCAGCCTTACCAGGAGCCTCCCCGGAGTAGATGGAACCCCTATGGACAGTTCGAGCTACCAATGCTCCACCAAGGCCAAGGAGCCACACACTTTGAGATGAAGAAGAGGAGGAAGAGGAGCCGCAAGCTCGATCGAGTGAGCCGAGGCAACCCAGTTGCATGGAGTGCTCCTGATGGCCGTCTACCATCTCCAGACCACGACCTAGTCTCCCAGTTCTTTGGGGGGCACTGAGGTATCCAAACACCAACCCTTGTATATACCATTTCATATTTTCTTGCATTTGTTCTTGTTTTTTCTTGGTTTTGCCCTCTTGAATCTTTCACTAAATTTTTCTCACACAAGGGACTGTGTGATTTAAGTTTGGGGGAGGGTTCAAGAGATGATTTAACCTTGTTTTCTTTGTTCTTAGTTTTTCATTTATCTTTTGCATAGAAAAACCAAAAAAATCATAAAATTTTCAAAAAATCCAAAAATATTTTCATCTTTTTGCATTCATATTTGTTAGACTTGTTTAGGATTGCATTTTTCACTTGCATTGTTGATTTGACTTTGAAAACTTGTCCATCTTTTGCGATTTCTTGAGTGCCCTGTTTTTAGATTCTTTTGTGCATTAGGGTGAGATTGATTGAGCAGCAAGAACCATGTTTATCTTGATCATATCACTGCATGCACATCTCATTCAACCATTGCTGTGATTTGATGCATTTCCCTATCTATTTGAACCATAACTTGATCTTTAATTACCAATGCTTGCATTTGATTTCAACTCATGGCTACCACATACATATCTGGACATTCTTTACCATTTTCATATCCCTTTTGCTTGTCCAGATAGCTGATCTCTATCTTTGAGACAGTTACCACACCTTAAACCTAAGCCTTTTCATTTCAAACCCCATTTTATCTCTTGTGCGAATGTGAGAACCTTTCTTGGCTTTGCTTAGCATAAGGTGTTGTGTTTAAACCGGCAGGGGCAGTAGTTCTAGTTGTCTAGTTCTCTTGGGATTGTTTTCAGGCTAAGTTTGGGGGTGCCAACTCGAGCTCGATCGAGTTGGGTGTAAAAACCAGAAAAGTGGTAAAAGTTGGGAAAAACCCAAAGGAAAAAGAGTTTAGTTAAGTCCAGGGAGTTGGCAGTGTTAAAAAGGGTCTAGTAAAGGTTTGGGAAGTTAAAAAAGGAAAGTAAAAAGGGTTCTAAGTAGAATGAAAAGAAGGCAAAGCCTCAAGTGTCAAAAAGGAAAGAAAAGTTCCCTAAGTGTTTAGAAAATCCCAAACCGCTAGATGTTACCTCAAGAAGCCTCTCCCTAGGAAGTTCTTAAAAGAAAAGTGAGCAAAGCTCCTCAGTTTCAAAGGCGAAATGCCAAAAAGGGTAGTTAGGATTTTGTTCTAAAAAGCTCTAAGTGTTGAACTCGATCGAGTTAGGATTAGGCGGCTCGAGCTGCTGTTCTTGCATCATCTTTGGTTCTAACACTTAGCCTTCTGCCAAAGCAAAGCCACTTTCTTGAGAGATCCCTGTTACTAAACCACCATACAAAAGAGACCCTCTTTGTCTCTTAACCCATAAACCCTTGAAACCAAATGAGTTGATTGATCTTGCATGTTTTTGGTTCACTGTTTTTGCTTAATGAATGTTAAAGGGATTTGCTGATTTGAATGCATTGTTTGAGTGACTGTGAAGTGGGATTGATGTTGATAAGCATGGTTAAATCTTAATGAATATCTCTCACCTTGTTGCATTCTAGAATCTCTAAGTTGGACATTTAGCAAATCGCTTTTGAGGACATGTTTTTAAGTGTTGAATCAGCTTTTTTCAAACCTCATCTCTTTCTTGTTCTATTTGTTTGCTTGAGGGCAAGCAAAGTTCAAGTTTGGGGGTGTTGATGTACTTGCATTTTACATAGTTTTAGCACATCTTTTATGCATCTTTTGCATAGTTTTAGCTCCATTTGCATCATATCTTGTTCCTTTTCTCTTCTTATGCATTCATGTTAGTTTTAGGTTGCATTTGCATACATATGCATGTTTGGTCCTTTGAAATAGGTCTTTTGGAGCATTCTGGAGCATATGGGAGGAGCATGGAGGGACTTGGCACATGGAAGCAGCTCAACTGGATACGCAAAGGAAGAAGGGAGAAGCCATCTTGAAGACCAGCTCGACCGTCTACTCGACCAACCGGTCGAGTTCCTCAACTCGACCGGCCAAGCTTCAACTCGATCGAGCTGAGAAGTCAACAGTCAAACCCGAAAAATGTTGCTTCCCCCTTGACTTTCCTTTGACCCTAAACCTAATCCTCTTGTATTTAAAGGCTAAGCCACGAAAAAACCACCAAGCTTTAGATTATTTTGTTTTAGTTTCTTTTAATTTATTGTCTTTTACTTTTTAGAGATCTAATCCCATCTTTGTGTTCTTGAAGCTCTTGCTTCTTGAATCCTAGATCCTGGATAATCTCTTTGTATTTGCACTTGCTTATTTCAATAAAAGTTGTTTAATTTCATCTCCTCTTTCTTATGATGTCTCTTTTATTGCATTTGCTTGTGTTTACATTCATGTGTAGTGAGTAGTTACCCATTAGGGTTTGAGATGGGATAGATTAGAGGTTTCATATGCTTAATCCTTCTAGCTTATGGTCTTAATCTAGATTCTCTCTCTTTTGGATAGATCTTAAGGCTACATGACCACTACCCCTGGCTTGTAAGTCCTTAGGCGATCCCCACACGAAGTGATGGCATTCGCTGGAAAAGATCCACTAAGAGCTCCAATATCTCTTGCTCTAGACAATAGAGGTCTAAGGGGTTGGATGGATTAGTTTGGGCAATGATCCTATAGCCTCCAAGGTTTGATTCTCACTGGCTAACCCCCTGTTTCTGAGATCATTCCTTGGTTGATAGCCTTCACCTTGGGAAAGGGTTGGCTAGGCATTGAGAAGCCCAATATCAAGAGAAGCCTTGATACAAGGAGTTTTAAGAGCTAGATTGATTAAGTGTAGATTCCTTTGATTGCAAAACCCTGTCTTGAACCCTAATTCTCTCTTTATCTTGTTAAAGTCGTCACCTTTACTGCTTTTTCTCAACTCGACCCTAAACTCGATCGAGCTGGTACTCTGTTCCTACTCGACTCGAGTCTTGGTCGAGCTACTTCACTGCTTTGTTTACTTTTATTGCACTGCATTTCATTTTTAGGTTGTTAGTGTTACTTCAAATCTATAACTGCTTGCTTGACTTCCTGGTTGTTTCATATTCTCATAGAGTGACAAGTTTCCCATTTTGGATTGATAACCCTTTGTACTACATCAACTATCATGGTTAAAGGGAATTGTTGACTGTGTTTGTGTTTGCATCTTACCACCATCATATACCACTGATTGCATTCCACTCATCTCATTTCATATCTTTTCACATCACACACAAAAATACCTTTCATCAAGGGGTCTATCAGAATTGATATACGAGTTTGCCGCCGTCGGGTGTCTTCTGCAAATAGTTGCAGTTCTTCAGGTACTGGAGATCGACCGTCTCGGGCTCTGCTACCTCCTCAGTCGCGTCGGGAGTGAATCCGACCGAGTGCAAGAGTGGCATGACGAGTCCACCCATCCGTAGCTTGCAGTCTTGGCTCCGGTGAGCGTTGGTGTTGGCCCATTGCTTGTAGGAGACAAGGTGCTCGATGATAGCACAGGTGATCCCGCCGTTTGGAGTACTTCCCTTCAGCTTGTCTCCATTGTTTAACCTCTGCAAGTTCTCTGTGAGCGCTACATCGATCATGCTCAGCTCGCCCTAGTTGATGTTTCCAGTGATGACCCTTGGATAGAGTGCATTGGCGAGGCATTTGTGCAGATACCGGATCGGTGGGCTCCTGATATGAGCGGATTTGGCGGTCGAGGACTGGTAGTCTCCTGAAGCGATCACTTCCCACAATGCTCTCATCTCGTCCTTGTCCACAACAAGACCATAACGGTTGCCGAGACCTAGGTAGTAGGCGCGATCGATCTCCTGGAGGGAGAGATAGTGTCTCTGTCCTGACGCCCAGAAAGTGATGGACTCGTCGCTTCCATCTGGCGTATGTTGGCCTTCCTTGCAGAGGTCGAATGTGAGGGAAGCTAGGAATTGGCAGGTCGCTTCCTTGTAGGATCCGTGCCTCTTTGACATGAAGACGCCGACTCCCAGGTTGTTGATGTACTTGCATTTTGCATAGTTTTAGTACATCTTTTATGCATCTTTTGCATAGTTTTAGCATCCATTAGCATCATATCTTGTTCCTTTTCTCTTCTTATGCATTCATAGTAGTTTTAGGTTGCATTTGCATACATATGCATGTTTGGTCCTTTGAAATAGGTCTTTTGGAGCATTTGGAGCATATGGGACGTGAGGAGCAAAGGAGGACTTGGCACATGGACGCAGCTCAACTGGATACGCAAAGGAAGAAGGAGGAAGCCATCTTGAAGACCAGCTCGACCATCTACTCGACCAACCGGTCGAGTTCCTCAACTCGACCGGCCAAGCTTCAACTCGATCGAGCTGAGAAGTCAACAGTCAAACCCGAAAAATGTTGCTTCCCCCTTGACTTTCCTTTGACCCTAAACCTAATCCTCTTGTATTTAAGGCTAAAAGCCACGAAAAAACCACCAAGCTTTAGATTACTTTTTGTTTTAGTTCTTTTAATTTATTGTCTTTTACTTTTGAGAGCTCTAATCCCATCTTTGTGTTCTTGAAGCTCTTGCTTCTTGAATCCTAGATCCTGGATAATCTCTTTTGTATTTGCACTTGCTTATTTCAATAAAAGTTGTTTATTTCATCTCCTCTTTCTTATGATGTCTCTTTTATTGCATTTGCTTGTGTTTACATTCATGTGTAGTGAGTAGTTTCCCTTAGGGTCAAAGATGGGATAGATTAGAGGATTTTATGCTTAATCCTTCTTGCTTATGTTCTTAATCTAGAAATCTCTCTCTTTTGGACAAACCTTAAGGCTACATGACCACTACCCTGGCTTGTATGTCCATAGGCGATTCTCCACATGGAAGTGATGGAAATCGTTGGAAAAGGTCCACTAAGAGCTCCAATATCTCTTGCTCTAGAAATGGAGGTCTAAGGGGTTGGATGGATTAGTTTGAGCAATGATCCTATGGCCTCCAAGGCTTGATTCTCACTGGCTAACCCCCTGTTTCTGAGATCAAGTCTTGGTTGATAGCTTTCACCTTGGGAAAGGGTTAGCTAGGCATTGAGAAGCTCAATATCAAGAGATACCTTGATACAAGTAGTTTGAGAGCAAGATCGATTAAGTATAGCCTTCCTCTGATTGCAAAACCCTGTCTTAGACCCTATTGTTCGTTCTAGCTTGTTAAAGTCGCTGCCTTTATTGCTTTTTACTTCAACTCGACCCTAAACTCGATCGAGCTCGGTACTCTGTTCCAACTCGACTCGAGTCCTTGGTCGAGCTGTTGCTCTACTGCTTTATTTACTTTCTGCATTTCATTTCTGTTCATTAGGTTGTTAGTGTTACCCCAAATCTTTACTGCTTGCTTGACTTCCTGTTGTTTCATATTCTCATAGAGTGACAAGTTCTCCCATTTTGGATTGATAACCTCTTATACTACATTGACTATGATGGTTAAGAGGAATTGATTGATTGTGATTGCACCATACCATTCATCTTTATTCACCCCTGTTTGCATTCCACCTCATATCATATCACATATCCTATCATCAGTTGTCGAACATCGCGTTCACATCGTCGGTGATGCGTAGCTTCCTATCGCTTCTTGGCTCTGGGTATCGCGTGCCTTCGAATTTCATTTTGCGGAAGATACGAATGAGCGCCATCTCGTTTGTGGTCAGCGGATGGACGGGTCGCTCGTCTCTCAAGTTTCTTGGCGACTCGATGTCCTCCATTTCCTCGTCCAACTCAAAGTCATCCTCGGACTCGACGTGACGCTTGCCTCGCGTTATCTCTGCTCTCCTTCGTGAGGACTCGTCGCTGTTTCGTCGGTTCCTGAAAATCAAATGATATAACACAAGTCAGAGCAGCTCATGAACTCGATCGATTCATTGTACGGCTCGATCGAGCTCAACGAAATTCAAGTTAATACGCAACTCGATCGGCTTAATTGACAAGCAGACGAGATAACACAACCGATTTCAGCAAAACCCAAGATATCAAACAGGCAATTCAATTCATTACAGCTCGATTCCCCCCAAATTCAATCAATTCAATCAACTCAACTCAAGAACACAACCTAGTAAATCGAATCGATAGTAATGAAAATCAAATGTGAGGACCTAATGAGTAGTCCAAATTAAACGAACTCGATTCATGGGTTGTGTATGCGGCCGAGTTCAACGGTTATAGCACAAGAAATTCGCAGCAAAATCGCAAGAAAATTACCCAGAATTCGCGAAGAGTTAGGGTTCGAGTTCATACCTTGATTCGCGTCTCATGCTTATTCGATTTGAAAGAGATATAATGCAGTCAACGAGATGATCGATTGAAGTTAAAAAAATTGTGTGGGTGAAATTGATTTGAGAGGTGAGGAAGGTTTCAGAAATCGTGTGGATAGTGGGAGGTGAAGAAGAGTGAGAATGGTCGAGTTGTTTAATGGTGTGAGTGTGAGTGGGTAGGTAGGTAGAGGGTGAAAAACGTGTTTTTTTTTTTCTTTTCTTTTTTTTTTTTTTTTTTTTTTTTTTAATAAGAAATACTTACCTTGGCAGGGCTCGACCTCGTCGTCGAGTGACTCGATCGAGCTCGTCTTGTGTTCCTTCCAGCTTCCCTGTTCGATCCCTGTTCTGTGACCTGTCAGCCAAAAACACTAGAAAACAAATTAAAAATAACAGGAAACAAAATATATATACAGGATAAACATGGGATTTCCTCCCAAGCGAGCTTGTTTTAAGTCACTAAGCTTGACTTCCCTCATTCATTAGGCTTGGGGGCTCAGCGAGAGGAATCGATGTCCCCTCTGGGATTGCGTAGTCTCGAAGATAGAGCTTAACCCTTTGCCCGTTGACTGTGAATGGGGCCTCTTCCTTGTTGAACAGAGTGACCGCTCCAAAAGGGGATACCTCTTTGACAGTAAAGGGTCCAGACCACCTCGACTTCAGTTTCCCAGGAAACAGCTTCAGGCGAGAGTTAAACAACAGCACTCGATCGCCTTCCTTCAAGTCCTTTCGGATGATATTTTTGTCGTGAAATGCCTTGGTCCTCTCCTTGTAGATCTTAGAGCTTTCGTAGGCATCCAATATGATCTCCTCGAGCTCATGTAGATCGAGCTCTCTCTTCTCCTGGGCGGTCTTGATATCAAAATTCAGCATCTTTGTCGCCCAGAGGGCTCTGTATTCCACTCACTACAGGAAATGTGGGTATTAATAGCGGCCGTTAAACGCTATGAGTTCAAAAATATAGCGTTTCCTAAAACGCTCTGACATCGCCCGTTATAGTAGGTCAGACACTTTTAATAGCGGATTTTTGGTGTGCTATAGATAACTATACAACGATAGCATTGTCTGCTGTGCAATTGTTAATATTTATAATAACGTAATCCAAATGTTATTAAAACTCATTAATTTGAATTTACGGATAGCAAAGATAGCAAATGTTTCGTGTTATTATTTTGTTTTTAAATTTAAATTAATACAAAATATATAAATATTTAAATGTTTCGAAAACCATAACAAATTTTATTGTTTACAAAAATCACACACCTATCAATCTACCACTAACAAGCCTTCACAATCATCCCTAACATAAACACTATCATCATCACAAGCTTCATCATCCAAATCATCGAGTTCTTGGATAGGCAAAGGTGGACCACTTAAATTCTCTTCTGTTTCCAACTCATGATAGCCTCTAGGTGGTGCTCTCATAACAACATACCAATTTGAATTATTATCTTCCCTAGAGTAGAAAACCTGTTTTGCTTGAGAAGGTAGAATGAATGGATCTTTCAAATAGGCTGTTTTGTTCATATGAAGGTTGACAAGAGTGAAACGATCTTCCTCCTTCACACCATTCCCTGTGTTGGCCCAATTGCATCTAAACAGCGGCACTTTGAACATGTGATAGTCCATAAGTAAAATCTCCTTTATCACTCCATAATATGTAAGTATATCAGCGACTTGTCTCATATCTCGAGCACTTGATCTACACATGCTAAATGCTTCATAAGTTACTCCACTGTTTTGCGTCTTCCGCTTAACCGCATCTGTATGAAACCGTTGCCTATTAACGATAAATCCTTTATGTGCTACAGCAACATTTCTTGGTCCAAATGCCAACCACCTTATCTCTTTAGAATGACTATTTGTTGAGTCTGAATGAATCTGCCACAGTAAAATCAGAACTTCATCATCAAGCTGAAGTACTAAAATGACCAGTCATCAAGATACAACCTAAGCTAACCAGTCACTAAGCAAAACATGATCATGAAGCTAGCTAACAATTCATTGCGGAAAACCAGTCATCAAGCTACAAGCTAAGTTAACCAATCATTAAGGAAAACATGAGCATATATGAAGCTAACAATCTGTGCCAAGAAAACCATTCATCAAGCTACAAGATAAGCTAACAATCTGTTCCAAGAAAACCAGTAATCAAGCTACAAGATAAGCTAACCAGTCATCAAGCAAAATATCATCACGAAGCTAACAAGCTAATCAGTCTATTTAACAAGCTGTATAACAAATAATCAAGAAGACAAGTTGCATCTGGAAACCTTTATTTTAAGCCATTGTGCAAACTGCTCAGTATGGTTTTTCCACAACAAAGTTTCATTTTTAGCACATCGAGCATCATTAGCTTGTAATTCTTCCAAATGCTTCCTGATTTTACATTAACACATCAATTTTGAGAATGAAATTATAATAATAATTAGTAGATGAAACATAAAGGGTAACCTCTTACTCGACATAAGGATTCAAAGATGCCATGTTCATTAGCACATAGCGATGTGCAGTGTCTCTATCTTTATCTGATAGAGTAACTTCTATACCCTTCTGCAGAGGTCGACCTTCAATCACGCTTCTATCAGCCTCAATATCTTCATTGCGGTTAACTGTTTCTTGAACTGGTACTGAATCTTTAAGGAACTCTAAACAAAATGCAACGCATTCTCCAGCTAAATACCCCTCAGCCATACATGCTTCTGGCCTTGCATGATTCTTAACAAAAGCCTTAAGTGTTTTCATGTACCTATCACTCAGTCAAGAAATGAATATTAGTTGAACATAATTGCAGGAAATACATATATTGAAGCAAATGAGTACATCAAACCTTTCGAAGGGATACATCCAGCGGAAGTGGACTGGTCCTCCCAAACGTGCCTCTTTTGATAGATGTATTGGAAGGTGGAACATGATATCAAAAAGGGATGGAGGGAAGAAGCGCTCCAGTTGACACATTGTTTCCACAAACTCTGTCTCCATTGTCATAAGTTTCTCTGGGTCGATGATGCGCTGACACAACCTGTTGAAGTAACTGCATAATCTACTTATGGCAATCCTAGGACCCTTATGTAGCAACCCTCTTAATGCAGCCGGTAACAAGTTCTGGACTAGGACATGATGATCATGCGACTTTAAACTACCTATATTTGGAGGGTTAACTGAAACACTATTCGCAATATTTCCACAATAACCATCAGGACCTCTAAACTTAGATAACCTTTGGCAGAAAATGGTCTTCTCTTTCTTGGATAACCAATAGGCTGCTGGAGGTAAGTATGTTTTCTTTCCCCTGACCTCTGTGTGCAAGTGATTTCTGATTCCAATATCTTCTAAGTCTTTTCTTGCTTTCAAACCATCCTTTGACTTAGCACTTTGCATCAAGATAGACAATATAGCATCCGACACATTTTTTTCTACATGCATAACATCAATATTGTGACGAACAGGCAAATCCTAACACATTAAAGAAGAAACTGTTAGGCTTATTCAGATCCAACAATAAGAGAATATAGTTCAATTACTTTACTTTACCTTCCAGTAAGGTAGTTCAAAGAATATTGATCTCTTCTTCCACCGCCATAGATCATTCGATTCTTCACACTCTTCTTCTTGAACCACCTCATCATCTTCCAACTCAGCTCTTTTTCTTTTATTTTCCTTGTCTAGAGGTTTTCCAAAATCATTCCTAAAAGCTTGAAGTGTCTGATATATTTCATCGCCAGTTTGTATCCTTTTGGCATTCCCTTCCTCAACAGTGTTGTCAAACCAAGCTTTTTTATATCTGTAACGATGGCCCGGCGGCAGTCTCTTTCTGTTCCCCATATAGACAAACTTACGGCTAAACTTAAGCCATCTGGAAGGTGTATCCTTTCCACATACATTGCAGGCTTGTTTCCCCTTCACTTTACATCCAGACAATGTTCCTAAGGCTGGATAGTCACTGATACTCCAAAGCAGCATGGCTCTAAGTGTGAAATTCTCCTTCGCAAATGAGTCATAGACTTCAATACCCTCAGCCCACAAATCTTTTAGATCGTCTATCAGTGGAGCCAAGTAAACATCTATGTTATTACCAGGAGCTGTTGGACCAGGGATCAACAAAGTCAACATTATATTCTCAGCCTTCATACACATAGTCGGAGGCGTGTTATAGTTCACCAACAACACTGGCCATGTGCTGTGATTGGTGTTTTGCATGGAGAAAGGGTTCATCCCATCTGTAGAAATCCCAAGGCGAAGATTCCTTGGTTCAGCAGAAAAGTCTGGCCATTTAGCATTCACTTGTGCCCAAGATATAGAATCAACCGGGTGTCGCATTGTACCATCTTCAGTGCCATTGGTATAGTGCCACCGCAAATCTTCAGCCATCTTGTTTGATCTAAACATCCTCCTAAATCTGTCCTTGATTGGAAAATATCTAAGGACCTTTGTTGGAATCCCAACCTTTATCTCATTACTGTGCTTATCCTTTTCCCATCTTGAAACTTTGCATCTTGGACAGCTATCTAACTTCTCAAACTCCTTCCTATATAGAATGCAATCATTCTTGCAAGCATGAATACTTTGTATCCGAAACCAAATATCTTCAGAAATTTTTTGATTGCAGCTAAACTCTTCGGAAGTACATTGTCTTCAGGTAGCATGTCCTTTATTAAATCCAACAGCTGATCAAAGTAGTTCTCTGACACACCACTCTTAACCTTGAATCTGTAAAGTCCCATAATTGCTGAAACCTTTGTGTATTTGATACAATCAGAGTACAATGGAGTTTCAGCTTCTCTTAACTTTTTCCTAAACTGAGTTTCCTCTACTGCTTCATCGTCGTTTGCCTCTAATGCTTCATCACCATTCGTCTGATTTGGTTCACCTTCATTCATAGAGAATGCTGTCTTAAACAAGTCAAATGCCTCTGTTTCATGTCGACGACCACTGTCTTCTGTAGATGCTCTTTTTTCACCATGAATACTCCAACAAGAAGTCTTATACTTCTTATCCATACCCCTTATCACTAGATGCTCAACAATTTCCTCTACCGACTGATGGCATAAATTGCGGCAATCTCTACAAACAGCACTTGGACCTAGAGGTATATTGTTAACCTTCTCTTTGGAGTTAGATGAGCACACAACACCTTCAGCAATAACCTCATCGTCTTTATTAGTCCAATCATTTATTTTGCATCTTCGAGTCTCACCTTCCTTGTTTTGCTAAAATGTAAGAAGCTAAAGATTAGAGATATATCACTTCACCACAAGAAATATCAATGAAAGATTGAAAAACTTTACCATGGATACATTTTCAGAAGCGACTGGATCCTTATACAAAAGCACCTTGTCCATTGGCCAAGGTATTTTGCATCCCACAGCTTCCTCAAGATATAACACATCTGTTGTAGGCCTCCAGAGAGAAGCTTCTGAGCTTAGTGCAGACTTAACAAGGACAGCCATTGCATTAGGACCAATTGGTATACGACCAATTTTGTACATCGGTTCAGCATAACGGAATTCCCCTTCACCAACAACTACATCTCCTGATTGAATCCAATCCAGAATCACCATTACTTGTCTAAAATTAGGAAAAGGAATTCGTAATTGTCTTCAAACCAAACCAATTCACCAAATGTAATGAAATGGATTACCTTCTTTCCAGCTAAGTCTCGGACAATGCCCTTTAACTCTTCAATCTCACTTTTCATTTCAGCCATCTCTGCGTCTCTAGATTGCAAAAATGCTAACTTAGTAGCCGTAATCCCTCTACCAAAGCCCCTTACTCGTCCAGGTTTGTCTTTTCCCAAAATCTTGCTCACAGCATCTTCCCTTATGTTATCAACAGCTGATGTAGAGTCCATTTCACTATCAAGTGATTGTATTTGTTCCTGATACAAACATTTAAACACACGAAAACTCATTGATCCTAATCCAGTAACTATACACAATATCACAAGTTCCAGAATTCTTACAATAGTCTCGGCAAATTGAGGCTTCACAGGTCTACCATTAGCATGAGTGTGACCCGCAATCCATACCTTACTCCTAGTCACCTTACTTGGGTCTTTACTCTTTTTTTTCTATACAAAGTACATACATATCTCAGTACCATTTTATTCTAACAAAATATACAATATATATATATACATATATAGATATTTGACAACTATTATTACCATATCATCAGCTAAACGAAGCATTCCTTTGCGGCTGGTGGTGTGAGGAATCTGATTTTGTCTCATCTTCCTGTACTTGTCACTTATTTCCTACATTATAAATATCAATGTGATTAAATCTATCAGACATGACATATAAACAAGAAAGTTACTTAGTTGTAGATAACTAACCATGAAAGCTGCGTTAGTCTTGCTCCTAACCCAAGAGTTCCACACTTGAATGGATGGAATGTTGCTGGGTTTTAAATCTATTCTCTGAGCAACAGTCTTCGCAGCACGTACGTCTCACAATAGCCTTGACTTCCAACCCCTCCAGATATTTCCCATTTGCTTGAAAATAACAACTCTCTGCCATTTTTCTTGCAAGTTAAACCTCCCCTGCATCACGTACAACAAGCAAAGGTCAAACATGCTTCATATCTGTTCAACAAAAAATAGTTGCATATAAATATATACCTGAATTTCTTCCCACATTGCTTGTTTAGTCATTGTATCAACTTTTCTCCAATCAGAAATTGTAACCGGGACGTGTTCCCTCACAAGGACACCAAGAAAAGATGATAATGTTATTGAACCAGATCCAACATGATCACCAAAGTCGTTGAAAGTAACTGAAACCTTTTCATTAGGATTTTCAGCCACTTTACGCATCTTTGTTGGTCCTCGTTTTTTTTTCTTTCTTTTACTCTTTCCTCCGGTACCTGACTTCCTTCATCAGTGTTGCTAGGAATCGCATTATCTTGACCATTGCCAACACCATCTTTTTCCATCTCAATAGCTTCGTCAATATTCGGAGCTTCTTCTTCATCCTCCTTCTGTTCTTGTCCAGTCAAACAAGCTTCTCCTTCTATCTCAGAATCTTCTTTCTCATTTTCAGACATTGCTTTCTCAGTCTGATCAGCCTCCATGGATGATGGTGTTACATTGTCAACAGCATCATCTTGCGGTATTACATCTTCAACCACATTATCTTGCGGTGTAATATCTTCTACCTCATCATCTTGAGCAGCCACTTTCTTGTTTCTAGTACTACTGCTCGTAGCCACTTTCTTTGCTTTTCTTTTCTTATTCACCTTTAGTGTTGTTGCTGGAGCAACTTGTGGTGTTATCTCTTCTACCTCCAAGCCTTGCTTACGTCTACTACGACGAGAACCAACTTGACCTCCTCCTCTTGTCTTCGCCATTTCTGAAAGTGATAAATGAAGAACAATTTCAGTCAACATAAAATCGAAACCCAAAAATCATAATCGAAACAGAAAATCAAAATTGAAACAAGAAATGTGCCAGAATTCGACATGCATGTTCACTGAAATAAAGAATCAAAACCCAAAATCAAAATCGATACCCAAAATCACAAACTTCCGCATCAATGTTCACACAGCCCAAGAATCGAAACACCAAATCAAAAAGGTTTTCCATTCCAACGAACAAACAAGCTATGATTGAATGAGAACATACCTATTAAAGATTCCAGGGAGATTGTGAGAAATCGAGTTGAGAGACTGAGAAATCAAGCCGACACAGTGAGAAATCGAGTGAGATAAAGTGAACATCCTATTAAATCCTATCATCAGTTGTCGAACATCGCGTTCACATCGTCGGTGATGCGTAGCTTCCCTATCGCTTCTTGGCTCCGGGTATCGCGTGCCTTCGAATTTCATTTTGCGGAAGATACGAATGAGCGCCATCTCGTTTGTGGTCAGCGGATGGACGGGTTGCTCGTCTCTCAAGTTTCTTGGCGACTCGATGTCCTCCATTTCCTCGTCCAACTCAAAGTCATCCTCGGACTCGACGTGACGCTTGCCTCGCGTTATCTCTGCTCTCCTTCATGAGGACTCGTCGCTGTTTCGTCGGTTCCTGAAAATCAAATGATATAACACAAGTCAGAGCAGCTCAGGAACTCGATCGATTCATTGTACGGCTTGATCGAGCTCAACGAAATTCAAGTTAATACGCAACTCGATCGGCTTAATTGACAAGCAGACGAGACAACACAACCGATTTCAGCAAAACCCAAGATATCAAACAGGCAATTCAATTCATTACAGCTCGATTCCCCCCAAATTCAATCAATTCAATCAACTCAACTCAAGAACACAACCTAGTAAATCGAATCGATAGTAATGAAGATCAAATGTGAGGACCTAATGAGTAGTCCAAATTAAACGAATTCAATTCATGGGTTGTGTATGTGGCCGAGTTCAACGGTTATAGCACAAGAAATTCGCAGCAAAATCGCAAGAAAATTACCCAGAATTCGCGAAGAGTTAGGGTTCGAGTTCATACCTTGATTCGCGTCTCATGCTTATTCGATTTGAAAGAGATATAATGCAGTCAACGAGATGATCGATTGAAGTTAAAAAAAATTGTGTGGGTGAAATCGATTTGAGAGGTGAGGAAGGTTTCAGAAATCGTGTGGATAGTGGGAGGTGAAGAAGAGAGAGAATGGTCGAGTTGTTTAATGGTGTGAGTGTGAGTGGGTAAGTAGGTAGAGGGTGAAAAACGTGTTTTTTTTTTTCTTTTCTTTTTTTTTTTTTTTTTTTTTTTTTTTTTTTTTTTTTAATAAGAAATACTTACCTTGGCAGGGCTCGACCTCGTCGTCGAGTGACTCGATCGAGCTCGTCTTGTGTTCCTTCCAGCTTCCCTGTTCGATCCCTGTTCTGTGACCTGTCAGCCAAAAACACTAGAAAACAAATTAAAAATAACAGGAAACAAAATATATATACAGGATAAACATGGGATTTCCTCCCAAGCGAGCTTGTTTTAAGTCACTAAGCTTGACTTCCCTCATTCATTAGGCTTGGGGGCTCAGCGAGAGGAATCGATGTCCCCTCTGGGATTGCGTAGTCTCGAAGATAGAGCTTAACCCTTTGCCCGTTAACTGTGAATGGGGCCTCTTCCTTGTTGAACAGAGTGACCGCTCCAAAAGGGGATACCTCTTTGACAGTAAAGGGTCCAGACCACCTCGACTTCAGTTTCCCAGGAAACAGCTTCAGGCGAGAGTTAAACAACAGCACTCGATCGCCTTCCTTCAAGTCCTTTCGGATGATATTTTTGTCGTGAAATGCCTTGGTCCTCTCCTTGTAGATCTTAGAGCTTTCGTAGGCATCCAATCTGATCTCCTCGAGCTCATGTAGATCGAGCTCTCTCTTCTCCTGGGCGGTCTTGATATCAAAATTCAGCATCTTTGTCGCCCAGAGGGCTCTGTATTCCACTTCAACAGGGAGGTGGCATGACTTTCCGTAAGCAACTGAAATGGTGTCCTCCCAATAGGCGTCTTGAAAGATGTCCTATACGCCCAGAGTGAGTCGTCGAGCTTGATCGCCCAGTCTCTGGTCGAGCTGCTGACAACCTTGTGTAAGATCGCCTTGATCGGTTTGTTAGACACTTCGACCTGTCCCGATGTCTGGGGGTGATATGGCGTTGCAACCTTATGCTTCACTCCATACTTCTTCAGAAGACTTGCAAAGATCTTGTTGATGAAGTGGCTCCCCCCATCGCTAATCACAACTCTCGGGATTCCGTATCTAGGAAAGATAACGGATTTGAACAATTTGAGCACTGGTTTGTGATCGTTGGCGGGGCACGCAATCGCTTCAACCCACTTGGACACGTAATCGACCGCGACTAGAATGTAGCGGTTCCCATGAGATGATGGGTCGAATGGTCCCATGAAATCGATCCCCCAAACGTCGAAGACTTCGACTTCCAAAATCGGGTTCTGCGGCATCCCCGGCAACAGCGCCAAATTGATAATAGGATTTTACTATCAATTATCCTAAAGCAGTATATCTATCGCAGTAGTACTTTAGGTATCAATCCAATCAGGTGAGATGCTAGCAATCAGATATGACAAACTACTCAATTCAAGCCAAATCTATCAGGTGGTGGTGACAATGTGAACAAAAGAGATCGAGTGCAATATGAATGCAATCGAGCTGAAACAAACCTCAAACACGGGCTAGGGCTATCCCTCAACAACGAACTCGACAGACAAGATCAATTCGCTTTCACGAAAGAGATCAACAAACTAGTGAATTCTCAAGACCTAATCATCATTAGCGAAGAAACACAAGCAAGCATTAAGTTCGGATTCGATAGAGTCGAAATACTCTCTAGACATCTAATCCCTTAGGCTAGAACAGTAAATCTCTGGATCAGCTGGTTCAGACATCTCATCGAACGCCTCATGAGCGTGGAAATGTCTAAGATCCAGATCCAGGTGATCAGAAAGAATCTGGGATGAAGCTCACTAATCCAGAAGGGATCGATTTGACAAACAATACTTAAGCAACTCGATCACGCTAGGGTTCGCTACAGATCTATCCCATCCTCAGAAACTTAAACGAAACTACTCGCTAGAACTCATCATACACATTTCAGAATCAAAAGAGATAGAGTGCATAATCAAAGCGACAAAGAGATAGAATCGAAATGCAAAAGTACTTAGAACTCAAAAACAAATCTGAATACAACTCTGTTCGAATGTAAAAATGAAAGATAAGATTTGTGGAGGCTGCACCTCTCCCTCTGGTTTTGATACTCGAGAAACCTAGTGTTTTAGAAAAATCGGGAAATAAAATAAAAAGGGAAAAGTTGGCCGAAACAAGCACTGGGTCAGGATCCCTTAATGGGCTGGATCGATCCCGTCAGAACGTGGGCCCTCTCGCTTGACTCTGACTCTGTCTCTCAGGTTTGACGTCGGCGCTACGGCGTTCATAGTTGACTCCAGCGTGACCTCCTCGAGCTCGATCACAGCACTCGACCTCGTCCAATTCGATCACTTGATGTTTGATAGCGTCAACGCGACCACGTGTACTCTGTCACTCCAGCTCCAGCTCCATCACTCCAGGAAACACCTAAAACTGACACAAATGTACAAGATGCAACAATGCTAGTCCTAAATGCACTAAATGCGGAATATGAGTGAGATGAGTGAAAAGCAATGCAAATGAACGGTTATGGATGCAAAAACATATACAATCGAGTGCTAAAAACATGCAAAGTATGAACACATCAATGTTGATGTACTTGCATTTTACATAGTTTTAGTACATCTTTTATGCATCTTTTGCATAGTTTTAGCATCCATTAGCATCATATCTTGTTCCTTTTCCTTCTTGTGCATTCATAGTAGTTTTAGGTTGCATTTGCATACATGTGCATGTTTGGTCCTTTGAAATAGGTCTTTTGGAGCACTTTGGAGCATATGGGACATAAGGAGCAAGGAAGGACTTGGTGCATGGACGCAGCTCAACTGGACACGCAAAGGAGAAGAAGGAAGTCATCTTGAAGACCAGCTCGACCACCTACTCGACCATCCGGTCGAGTTCCTCAACTCGACCGGCCAAGCTTCAACTCGATCGAGCTGAGAAGTCAACAGTCAAACCCGAAAAATGTTGCTTCCCCCTTGACTTCCCTTTGACCCTAAACCTAATCCTCTTTGTATTTAAAGGCTCTAAGCCACGAAAAAACACAAGCTTTAGATTATTTTGTTTTAGCTTTCTTTTAATTATTGTCTTTTACTTTTTGCAACTCTAATCCATCTTTGTGTTCTTGAAGCTCTTGCTTCTTGAATCCTAGATCCTGGATTATCTTTGTATTTGCACTTGCTTATTTCAATAAAAGTTGTTTATTTCATCTCCTCTTTCATTTGATGTCTATTTCATTGCATTTGCTTGTGTTTACATTCATGTGTAGTGAGTAGTTACCCATTAGGGTTTGAGATGGGATAGATTAGGGTTTTATGCTTAATCCTTCTTGCTTATGGTCTTAATCTAGAATCTCTCTCTTTTGGATAATCCTTAAGGCTACATGACCACTACCCCTGGCTTGTATGTCCATAGGCGATTCTCCACATGGAAGTGATGGAAATCGCTGGAAAAGATCCACTAAGAGCTCCAATAACTCTTGCTCTCGAAATGGAGTTCATAGGGGTTGGATGGATTAGTTTGAGCAATGATCCTATGGCCTCCAAGGTTGATTCTCACTGGCTAACCCCCTGTTTCTGAGATCATTCCTTGGTTGATAGCTTTCACCTTGGGAAAGGGTTAGCTAGGCATTGAGAAGCTCAATATCAAGAGAACCTTGATACAAGTTGTTTAAGAGCAAGATTGATTAAGTATAGTCTTCCCTGATTGTAAACCCTGTCTTAGACCCTAATTCTCGCATTAGCTTGTTAAAGTCTGCCTTTATCGCTTTTTACTAACTCGACCCTAACTCGATCGAGCTGGTTACTCTGTTCCCACTCGACTCGAGTCCTTGGTCGAGCTGCTTGCTTTACTGCTTTCTTTACTTTTATTGCACTGCATTTCATTTCATTAGGTTGTTAGTGTTACCTCTATCTTGCTTGACTTCTTGTTTTGCATATTCTCATAGAGTAATTTCCCATTTTGGATTGATAACCCTTATACTTCAATGACTATGATGGTTAAGGGAATTGATTGATTGTGATTGTGTTTGCATCTTACCACCTCATCTTATATACCACTGTTGCATTCCACCTCATTCATTTCATATCATATTTCACACACAAAATCCTATCATCAATTTGGCGCCGTTGCCGATTTGGGAATATTTTTGTTGCATTTGAGTTTCAAACACTTGGACGATCAAGCTATACCACCCCTGTTCTATTGTACTGCTGGGTTTTTGTCTCTTTTTGCAGGTGTATGCGAACTCGATCGAGTCGGAACTACAGAAGACTTGGTCGAGCTAGACTTACAACGGGTAGAAAGAGGTTCAGAGGTCAGAGGGTACAAGAGGAACCTGAGGTGCTTGTTACTGATACAATGGATGTACCAGAGGGGAATGGAAACCCTTTGGGCAATGGACTCGGTCGAGCTAGGCAAACTCGACCGATTGGTCAGGAGATGCTCCAAACCGCCACCAACAGAGACAAGGGATTGTTCCACCACCAGTGCAGAACCACAACTTTGAGATCAAGCTGGGAATGATCAACCTTGTCAGAACAAGATGTTCCATGGATTGCCAAGTGAAGACCCCATTGACCACCTTGATGAGTTTGATAGGCTTTGTGATTTGACAAAGATCAATGGTGTCTCTGAAGATGCCATCAAGCTGAGACTCTTTCCTATGTCTCTAGCTGACAAAGCTCACCAATGGGAGAAGAGCTTGCCCCATGGCACAATCACCACTTGGGATGAATGCAAGAAGGCCTTTCTTGCTAAGTTTTTCTCCACCGGTCGCACAGCCAAGCTTAGAGATATCCAGCTTCATCCAGCGAACAATGAGACATTCGCAGAGGCTTGGGAGAGGTTCAAAGGCTACACAAGTCAGTGCCCACACCATGGATTCAACAATGAATCACTACTCTCTACTCTTTATAGAGGATGCTTGCCTAGGTATAGGGAGATGCTAGACACAGCTAGCAATGGGAACTTCCTCAACCAGGATGTAGATGATGGCTGGCAACTTGTGGAGAACATAGCAACTCAAATGGAAGCTATGGAGAAGAGTATGATCGCACCAACCGGAGCTCGACCCACCACTCGATCGAGTCAGAGAAATTGAGAAAAGATGTTAAGGCATTGAATGAGAAGTTGGATAAGCTGATCTCTAGCTCAGTCCACAATGAAGAAAGTCAACTTTGTGTCTGCTGAAGAGATGGAACCAGTCCAAGAAGGGGAGGATACACAATTTGCTGAAGTGTGCTACATGAGCAATGGGCAAGGAGGTTACAACAAAGGATACTATAATTACAAGTCCAACCCAGCCATGTCATACCGAAACACTGATGTTGCTAACCCTCAGGACCAGGTCTATCCTCAACAACAGCAAGCTCGATCGAGTCAAGCCCCACAACATGGGTATGGTCAAAAGAACAATTACCAAGGCCCCAAGGGACTTTTCCTGGTCAGCAAATGCACATACCACCTGGCTTTCCCCACCAACCACCCCAGCCTGCACCTACAAGAGCTGAAAGAATGAGCTCAAGGCATGCTGAAACAATTGCTTCAAGGGCAAGCTGATGGTGTTGTGGACACAAGCAAGAAGCTAGCTGAAATAACTCCAAGATTGAGAATCTCAACACAAGAGTGTACTCTCTGGAGAATCATGCTTCTTCTGTTGCTGCTGCTACAAAGCAAGGACAACTACCTGGTAAAGCTATTCAGAACCCCAAGGAACAGTGCAAGGTCATCTTCACTCAAGAAGGACTTGATGAAGAAGAGGATCAAGAGAGAGTCATGGAAGAGTTTTGTTTGCTGCTGAATGATGAAGAGATTGTTGCTGCTGAGGCTCCTGGAGTCCAGATTGATCAACCTGAAGTGCAGCACCTACTGTAGCCTTCACACTTCACCAGTTGAGCTCGCACAACAAGCTCGATCGGCAGCTCGATCGAGTCGAACTCTAGCTCGATCGAGTCAGACCTCATCTATCTCAAGCCGATTTTGCTTGATCCTTACCAGCCAGTTGACACTTCCTCAGCCGCCTACTCAGTCAAGCCATAAGGAAGTGATTCACAAGTTCAGAAGAGACCTAGTGAGATTGGAATTGAGTTGCCTTCTATGGAAAGCATGAGTGAGGCATTTGAGCAAATGAAGTGATTCAAGATGTTATGGCCAACAAGGATAAAGTTTCAGAGCTTCTGGAGTCTACTCACAAATCAACCTGCTTACCACCCACTTTCTTACCAAAGGTGAAGGATCAAGGGAAATTCACTCTCCCTTGCACACTTGGGCATCTTGAGCTTGACAATGCCTTGGTGGATTCTGGAGCAAGCATCAATCTGATCTCTCTCTCAATGGCAGAAAAGCTAGGCATTGCTGGAGCATTGCAGCGCCCTACTACTTCAATCATGTTTGGAGATGCAACTTCTAAGTCTCCTCTTGTGTTCAAGAACTATCACTTGAAAATAGGAGAATCACTACAGGAAATGTGGGTATTAATAGCGGCCGTTAAACGCTATGAGTTCAAAAATATAGCGTTTCCTAAAATACTCTGACATCGCCCGTTATAGTAGGTCAGACACTTTTAATAGCGGATTTTTGGTGTGCTATAGATAACTATACAACGATAGCGTTGTCTGCTGTGCAATTGTTAATATTTATAATAACGTTATCCAAATGTTATTAAAACTCATTAATTTGAATTTACGGATAGCAAAGATAGCAAATGTTTCGTGTTATTATTTTGTTTTTAAATTTAAATTAATACAAAATATATAAATATTCAAATGTTTCGAAAACCATAACAAATTTTATTGTTGACAAAAACCACAAACACCTATCAATCTACCACTAACAAGCCTTCACAATCATCCCTAACATAAACACTATCATTATCACAAGCTTCATCATCCAAATCATCGAGTTCTTGGATAGGCAAAGGTGCACCACTTAAATTCTCTTCTGTTTCCAACTCATGATAGCCTCTAGGTGGTTCTCTCATAACAACATACCAATTTGAATTATCATCTTCCCTAGAGTAGAAAACCTGTTTTGCTTGAGAAGGTAGAATGAATGGATCTTTCAAATAGGCTGTTTGGTTCATATGAAGGTTGACAAGAGTGAAACCATCTTCCTCCTTCACACCATTCCCTGTGTTGGCCCAATTGCATCTAAACAGCGGCACTTTGAACATGTGATAGTCCATAAGTAAAATCTCCTTTATCACTCCATAATATGTAAGTATATCAGTGACTTGTCTCATATCTCGAGCACTTGATCTACACATGCTAAATGCTTCATAAGTTACTCCACTGTTTTGTGTCTTCCGCTTAACCGCATCTGTATGAAACCGTTGCCCATTAACGATAAATCCTTTATGTGCTACAACAACATTTCTTGGTCCAAATGCCAACCACCTTATCTCTTTAGAATGACTATTTGTTGAGTCTGAATGAATCTGCCACAGTAAAATCAGAACTTCATCATCAAGCTGAAGTACTAAAATGACCAGTCATCAAGATACAACCTAAGCTAACCAGTCACTAAGCAAAACATGATCATGAAGCTAGCTAACAATTCATTGCGGAAAACCAGTCATCAAGCTACAAGCTAAGCTAACCAGTCATTAAGCAAAACATGAGCATATATGAAGCTAACAATCTGTGCCAAGAAAACCATTCATCAAGCTACAAGATAAGCTAACAATCCGTTCCAAGAAAACCAGTAATCAAGCTACAAGATAAGCTAACCAGTCATCAAGCAAAATATCATCACGAAGCTAACAAGCTAATCAGTCTATTTAACAAGCTGTATAACAAATAATCAAGAAGACAAGTTGCATCTGGAAACCTTTATTTTAAGCCATTGTGCAAACTGCTCAGTATGGTTTTTCCACAACAAAGTTTCATTTTTAGCACATCGAGCATCATTAGCTTGTAATTCTTCCAAATGCTTCCTGATTTTACATTAACACATCAATTTTGAGAATGAAATTATAATAATAATTAGTAGATGAAACATAAAGCGTAACCTCTTACTCGACATAAGGATTCAAAGATGCCATGTTCATTAGCACATAGCGATGTGCAGTGTCTCTATCTTTATCTGATAGAGTAACTTCTATACCCTTCTGCAGAGGTCGACCTTCAATCACGCTTCTATCAGCCTCAATATCTTCATTGCGGTTAACTGTTTCTTGAACTGGTACTGAATCTTTAAGGAACTCTAAACAAAATGCAACGCATTCTCCAGCTAAATACCCCTCAGCCATACATGCTTCTGGCCTTGCATGATTCTTAACAAAAGCCTTAAATGTTTTCATGTACCTATCACTCAGTCAAGAAATGAATATTAGTTGAACATAATTGCAGGAAATACATATATTGAAGCAAATGAGTACATCAAACCTTTCGAAGGGATACATCCAGCGGAAGTGGACTGGTCCTCCCAAACGTGCCTCTTTTGATAGATGTATTGGAAGGTGGAACATGATATCAAAAAGGGAAGGAGGGAAGAAGCGCTCCAGTTGACACATTGTTTCCACAAACTCTGTCTCCATTGTCATAAGTTTCTCTGGGTCGATGATGCACTGACACAACCTGTTGAAGTAACTGCATAATCTACTTATGGCAATCCTAGGACCCTTATGTAGCAACCCTCTTAATGCAGCCGGTAACAAGTTCTGGACTAGGACATGATGATCATGCGACTTTAAACTACCTATATTTGGAGGGTTAACTGAAACACTATTCGCAATATTTCCACAATAACCATCAGGACCTCTAAACTTAGATAACCTTTGGCAGAAAATGGTCTTCTCTTTCTTGGATAACCAATAGGCTGCTGAGGTAAGTATGTTTTCTTTCCCCTGACCTCTGTGTGCAAGTGATTTCTGATTCCAATATCTTCTAAGTCTTTTCTTGCTTTCAAACCATCCTTTGACTTAGCACTTTGCATCAAGATAGACAATATAGCATCCGACACATTTTTTTCTACATGCATAACATCAATATTGTGACGAACAGGCAAATCCTAACACATTAAAGAAGAAACTGTTAGGCTTATTCAGATCCAACAATAAGAGAATATAGTTCAATTACTTTACTTTACCTTCCAGTAAGGTAGTTCAAAGAATATTGATCTCTTCTTCCACCGCCATAGATCATTCGATTCTTCACACTCTTCTTCTTGAACCACCTCATCATCTTCCAACTCAGCTCTTTTTCTTTTATTTTCCTTGTCTAGAGGTTTTCCAAAATCATTCCTAAAAGCTTGAAGTGTCTGATATATTTCATCGCCAGTTTGTATCCTTTTGGCATTCCCTTCCTCAACAGTGTTGTCAAACCAAGCTTTTTTATATCTGTAACGATGGCCCGGCGGCAGTCTCTTTCTGTTCCCCATATAGACAAACTTACGGCTAAACTTAAGCCATCTGGAAGGTGTATCCTTTCCACATACATTGCAGGCTTGTTTCCCCTTCACTTTACATCCAGACAATGTTCCTAAGGCTGGATAGTCACTGATACTCCAAAGCAGCATGGCTCTAAGTGTGAAATTCTCCTTCGCAAATGAGTCATAGACTTCAATACCCTCAGCCCACAAATCTTTTAGATCGTCTATCAGTGGAGCCAAGTAAACATCTATGTTATTACCAGGAGCTGTTGGACCAGGGATCTACAAAGTCAACATTATATTCTCAGCCTTCATACACATAGTCGGAGGCGTGTTATAGTTCACCAACAACACTGGCCATGTGCTGTGATTGGTGTTTTGCATGGAGAAAGGGTTCATCCCATCTGTAGAAATCCCAAGGCGAAGATTCCTTGGTTCAGCAGAAAAGTCTGGCCATTTAGCATTCACTTGTGCCCAAGATATAGAATCAACCGGGTGTCACATTGTACCATCTTCAGTGCCATTGGTATAGTGCCACCGCAAATCTTCAGCCATCTTGTTTGATCTAAACATCCTCCTAAATCTGTCCTTGATTGGAAAATATCTAAGGACCTTTGTTGGAATCCCAACCTTTATCTCATTACTGTGCTTATCCTTTTCCCATCTTGAAACTTTGCATCTTGGACAGCTATCTAACTTCTCAAACTCCTTCCTATATAGAATGCAATCATTCTTGCAAGCATGAATACTTTGGTATCCGAAACCAAATATCTTCAGAATTTTTTTGATTGTAGCTAAACTCTTCGGAAGTACATTGTCTTCAGGTAGTATGTCCTTTATTAAATCCAACAGCTGATCAAAGTAGTTCTCTGACACACCACTCTTAACCTTGAATCTGTAAAGTCCCATAATTGCTGAAACCTTTGTGTATTTGATAAAATCAGAGTACAATGGAGTTTCAGCTTCTCTTAACTTTTTCTTAAACTGAGTTTCCTCTACTGCTTCATCGTCGTTTGCCTCTAATGCTTCATTACCATTCGTCTGATTTGGTTCACCTTCATTCATAGAGAATGCTGTCTTAAACAACTCAAATGCCTCTGTTTCATGTCGACGACCACTGTCTTCTGTAGATGCTCTTTTTTCACCATGAATACTCCAACAAGAAGTCTTATACTTCTTATCCATACCCCTTATCACTAGATGCTCAACAATTTCCTCTACCGACTGATGGCATAAATTGCGGCAATCTCTACATGGGCATAGCATTTCAGACAGATTGCCCAATCTTCTTGCTGATGAATTGGCGAATTTCGTTGCTCCTTCTAAGTACTCGATACTATTCCTACATTGTAAATTGGAAAATAATTTAGATTTCTTTCAATCGATTAATATAAGTAAGCTCCATAGAATTTAGTGTATCCCTTGGCAGCGAAATCCACGTCTTATCCATTTGGTAACGATGGAGATGGATCCGTTCTGAAACGATTTGCTGAACTCAAATCAATTTGGGGGAATTTTTGGTAAACCCTAAAGATGAGTTGTGTTCTGAAATTTTTATATGTTCTTTTCACCGCGAAATCACATAACAAAAATGAACGGCTCGGATCAAAATTAGTGAAACGAATCAAACGGTCTAGGTTCAATGACCTTGCAATCTCGGAGGTTAGTCACCATTGGCTTAGAACAATGATCAGATCAAATTAGCGAGACAGATCAACGGTGTAGATTTCGCCTATATTGCAATCTTGGAGGTTACTTCTCATTGGCTAATAGTTGTTTTTTCGTTTAAAATCAGAAAATTAGTATATAAAATATGTTATTAATGAAAAAATATAATTTTTTTTTTTAAATTATCAATATAACTATTTCAATTTTAGAATATTATTTCTTATAAATATAAAATTTTAAAATTAAAAAAAATTAATATAAGTTAGTATACCAACTATCTAAGTTATATGTTCATAAACACTAAGGCTTAGTTTAGGGTATAGGGTTTAAACTTTGGGGTTTATATTTTTTTTTTACTTTAGTGTTTATGTTTTATACTTAAGGATTTAGAATTTTAACTTTCTGTTTGAGGTTTAGAGTTTTAACTTTCGGTTTGAGGTTTAGAGTTTTAACTTTCTGTTTGAGGTTTAGAGTTTTAACTACAATGTTTGAGGTTTAGGGTTTAGGCACAACAATACAAATTTCCAGCACCAGTTTAATTAGCCATGATTTCACAATTAATCTCGAAACTCTAAATTGATGTCCATCTTTCAAAATCAAATTCCAACAATTAGCAACATTGATAATTATGAGCATTTGAGAGAAATTAGACAAACAATACCAAGTTTTATCATTAACCAGAATAAAACTTCATTACAATACCAAAACACAATAACCGTTTCAGCAATACCGACAATTGTCTAAATTTCACACAAACTTTATTTTATCATTTGGCCATGCTACAATTGAACCTATGGCATCAGAAATTTATTCAATCTCTGAATTTGGCCTCCAAACCTTTGCATTACCAATCTTAGCCACTTCAACCCAGACCTTGCTTGCATTTGGACCTAGAGGTACATGATGGCACAAGTCGTTCGGATCTGTTGAAACTACTCTTCCTTCAGCTACCTTACGGCCAGAGTTGCTGCAATCTAAAAGAAAACACTTCTGCTTTGGACTTTTGGTGGAACTATTGCTGCATGGACTCTACAACTCAAAGAAAATAATAGAAGCAAGTTTCAACATCAATGAAAGTTCCAACATCAATCAAAGGTGCAAAAATGATATAACTTAATTTCAGTAACATACCTGGGCTTTAGGTAGTGTTGCATCTGTAGTGGTTGCAGCCGTGACGTCAATCTTTAGGACTGGCCATGCGATTTTCTCGTTAATTGCATCACCAATTAAACTACTATCAGTAGTTGGCCTCCACAAATGAGCATTATCATTGAACACCTTCACAACTTCAATACAAACAGCACTTGGACCTAGAGGTATATTGTTAACCTTCTCTTTGGAGTTAGATGAGCACACAACACCTTCAGCAATAACCTCATCGTCTTTATTAGTCCAATCATATATTTTGCATCTTCGAGTTTCACCTTCCTTGTTTTGCTAAAATG